CACACAATTTATCAGCCTTGTCTAAAATACGGTTCCTCTGGTGGTGGAACTCTAAACGAGGTTACTTTTCTTGAAATTCCTCCTGCATGTGCTTTCTGAAGATTGTTTTCTAATACCCCCATTCCCGCTTGATCTCCAGGACAAGCCATCCTCTGCACCCTGTGGGTCCTCTTCCCTCTTAGCCTTGCCTTTCTGTCCTTGCCTGGCAAGTTCTCCCCAACCCTCAACATTTAACTCCACATCTTGTCGCTGACCAGAGAGTGTGGGTCTGGTCTGTCTTACAACCCCCACAAAGAGCTCAAGTGTAGCTGGAAAGTTTCTCTCTGGGTCCCGCCAAGCTCCCGCAGTCCCGCAGCTCACTTATAAAATAATCACTCAGTAAACTGTATGGCCGTGGCAGGCTTCTTGCTATGTAGTTCTTATATCTTAAATTAACCCATTTCTCAGCCTGGTCTCCAAAAAGCGAGTTCCAGGAAAGGCGCAAAGCTACACAGAGAAACCCTGTCTCAAAAAACCAAAAAAAAAAAAAAAAAAAAATTAACCCATTTCTATAAATCTATACCTTGCTACGTGAATTGTGACTTACCAGTATCTTTACATGTTGTTTTTCATGGTGGCGGCTGGCAGCATCTCCTCATGAAGCTTCTTTTAGCACCTGAAGGCTGCCTGTCTCCTGTACCTGCCCTGTGGGCTCACTGTTGGCCATGACCTCCTGTAGCCCACTGCACATCACAAAGGAGAACACGTAGAGGTGTGCACATCTTGAAGACACAAGGGGACATGGGGGAGAGCTGGGAACTCCTCACTTGTCCCCATGCCCTTCTGACTCTGTGTTCCTTCACTCATTTTTACAGAAGGTATTCAATCCTGTCACTAAGACACTGGAAGAAGCTTGCTTGGATGCTGAGAAAAAAATATCAAGTAAAAGAAAATAAATGCTCTGATACAACCAAGGTAATTTGAGTGCTGCTAGCTCTTCATTGAAATTAAGAAATCATGAACTTTCACATATGGACATGGTGGACCATGTCTGTAATGCCAGTACTAGGAAGGGACAGGCAGTGACTGGCCAGCTCATGGAAGCCTTAGCCACGTGGTGAGAGCCATTAGAAAGAAAGGCATAGAGATGGAGAGAGACAGGGAGAGAGAGACAGAGAGAGAGGAGAAAGAAGAACGAGAGGAACAGAGAAAGAAAGAAATTCAGTATTACAATGGATGTATAGTTCTATCTAGGGAAATAGAGTTTCTTCCTAAAGCAGTGTCTACAGTTACCTCCTACAATTTGAAAATGAATATCCACGCTGAGTGTCACACTTTAATCCCAGCTCTCAGGAGACAGAGAGACTAATCGCTGAGTTCAAGGCCAGCAGGAGCTACATGGTGAGTTTAAGGATAGCCAGGGCTACACAGGAAACCTTGTCTCTAACAAACAAACAAATGAAAAACAAAAGAAAAAGAAAAAGGAAAAATATGCATACCCACACTGATGCTCTTCACACCATTGTTTGTAACTCCAAAATACTAGGAAAAAAGAACATCCAAAATGTGCATCTGAACAATGGCAGACATTGCAAATGTCAAAACAAACCACAACAAAATAGAAGTGAAGTTCTTTGTGAACTTAGGATGAGAATTCTGTGATCTCAGTGAAAACAGGCGAAGTGCAGAGGCATGAGCAGCGTGTCGTCCGTGTGAGAGAAGGGACAGCTGCGAGGGAGCACGCGTGTGAACACTGGGAAGAGGGGAAGGCCGGAGAGGAATGGCGTTGGGTGTCGTGAAGTACAGGTCAGGCCAGACAAAAGGGAGTGGGAACAGGGTACTGGCTAAGAGCAGCTCACAGGGTGCTCTGAAGACACGCTCTGTATGTCCAACGCACAGCAGGCAATTATGACTAACAAAAAGCGAACAGGACGCCAAGGTGGAAAACAGATCTAACGACCAGAAGCATTCCAAATGAATACTAACCCCCCATGAGGAGTTAGCGGAGATGGGCAGCAACTTCAGAAACCTTAGGAAGAAGCGTTTGGAACAGAGAGTGCACAGCTCAAGGCAAAACAAAACAAAATCAACTTTACAGATAATCACCAGTCCATAATATTTTCTCCAGTTGTTTGCATTAACAGTAATGGTATGTTTTTATACACAGTGGGAGTGAAAACATGCACGCCGTATATTTTATATATTGAGCTAGGTTTATTACCCATCAGACAGGATTTCTTTCTTTCTTTCTTTCTTTTTTTTTTGGCAAGGATGCGTCCTGCCTGCGAAGTATCAACCAAAGTTGGTTTTTTTTTCTGTCCTTTTTTTTTAATTAAGGGATTTTCTATTCATTTTATGTATCAACCACAGATTCCCCCGTCCTCCCTCCTCCCAACCCCGAGCCTTCCTCCCCAACCCACCCCCCATTCCCACCTCCTCCAAGGCAAGATCTCCCATGGGGAGTCAGCAGAGCCTGGTACATTCAGTTGAGGCAGGTCCAAGCCCCTCCTCCCTGCACCAAATTGTCTGACCACGGGCACTAGGTTCCAAAAAACCAGCTCATGCACTAGGGTCAGGTCCTGGTCCCACTACCTGGGGGCCTTTTAAACAGTTCAAGCTAAACAACTGTCTTACTTATACATAGGGCCTAGTCCAGTACCATGGGGGCTCCTCAGCTATTGGTCCACAGTTCATGTGTCTCCACCAGTTTGGCTAGTTGTCTCTGCACTTTTTCCAATCATGATCTCGCTATCTCTTGCTCATAGAATCCCTCCTCTCTCTCATCGATTGGACTCCTGGAGCTCTGCCTGGGACTCGGCCATGGATCTCTGCATCTGCTTCCATCATTCACTGGATGAGGGTTCTATCATGACAGTATGGTATTCAGCCATCCTATCACCAGAGTAGGCCAATTCAGGCACCCTCTCGACCATTGCCAGTAATCTATGGTCGAGTCTTCTTTGTGGATTCCTGGGGACCTCTCTAGCATTCTGCTTCTGCCTATTCTCATGGTGTCTTCATTTGTCACGGTATCTCCTTCCTTGTCCTCCCACTCTGTTCCTGATCCAGCTTGAACCTCTTGCTCCCCTAAGCTCTCTTTCCCCCGACCCTTGCCCTCCATTAGCGGGCTCCCCCCCATCACCACCAGTTTGCTCCTGTAGATCTCATCCATTTCTCCATTGCTGGGCGATCCCTGTGTCTTTCCTAGGGTCCTCCTTACTTGCTAGCCTCCCTGGAGCTGTGTGTTGCAGTCTGGTTACAGGATTTCATTAATAACTAATGAAATCTATTGGATTGACAGGCAAATATTGATATGAACTTACCATTTTAAATCATATGTGTACACATAGATTAAGAAAATCATGTAGAACCATACATATGCATCTTAGGTACTCTCCTATTGCTGTGATAAGACACTGTGACCAAGGTAACTTAAAAATAACTGTGGTGGTATTGTGTTCTCCAAAATTTTGTGAACCCTAATAAACTTATCTGGGGTCAGAAAACAGAACAGCCGCTAGATATAGAGGCCAGAAAAGAGTGACACACATGCCTTTAATCCTAACATTCCAGAGGCAGAGATCCGCCTTGATCTCTGTGAGTTCAAGGCCACACTGGAAACAGCCAGGCATGGTAACATGAGCTTTTAATCCTAGGAAGTGATGGCAGGAAGCAGAAAGGTATTTAAGGCATGAGGATGAGGAACTAGAGCCTGGTTAAGCTTTTAGGCTTTTGAGCAGCACAGTTCAGCTGAGATTCATTCTGGATGAGGACTCAGAGACTTCCAGTCTGAGGGAACAGGATCAGCTGAGGAATTGGCGAGGTGAGGTGGCTGTGGCTTGTTCTGCTTCTCTGATCTTGCAGCATTCACCCCAATACCTGGCTCTGGGTTTGTTTTTATTAATAAGACCCTTTAAGATTCATGCTACAAATAACAAGTTTATTGAGAGCTTACAGGTTCAGTGGGTGAGGCCATGACTATCATGATGGGAGCAAGGCACTAGGCAGGTAGGCATGGTGCTGGAGCAGTAGCTGAAAGCTTACATCTTGATTCATCAAGCACCAGGCAGAGAGAGCTAACTGAGAATGGTGTGGGCTTTTGAAACATCAAAGCCTGCTCCCGGTGACACACCTCCTCCAACAAGGCCACACCTCCTAATCCTTCCCAGACAGTTCTACAAATTGAGGACCAAATATTCAAACATATGAGCCTACAGGGTCCATTCTCATTCAAACCATCACAGAACATTGGGCTAAATACACACCCTGGTATCATTGCACATAGACCTATATGTATAGGTGGGTTAATCATATACACTAGGATCACTGTATATAGAACTGTATGTATATATGGGTAAAACACATACTAGGATCATTGTGAGTTAAATACACATTTAGAATCTCTGTACATAGAACTGTATATACATACTAGGATCATTGCATGTAGAACTGTGTGCATGTGAGTTAGATATATGTCCTGGTATCACTGCACATAGACTTGTATGTGTGGATGGGTTAAACACACATGCTAGGATCATTGCACATAGAATAGTGTGCATGGGATAGTAAAACACACACAATAGGGTCATTACACATAGAATTGTGTTGTGGAATATTAGTTGAAGATGTGTTACATTTGGTTATGCTGTGGAATATTGGTTTAATGATGCAAAGATGTGTTGCATTCTTTTATATTGCATTTGTTTTAACTCTGTGAAGCTGTGTTACTGTGCCTGCCTAAAACACCTGATTGGTCTAATAAAGAGCTGAATAGCCAATAGCTAGGGAGGAGAAGGATAAGCAGGGCTGGCAGGCAGAGAGAATAAGTAGGAGAAGAAATCTGGGCTCAAGAGAGAAAGGGAGGAATGAGAAAAGGAGGAGAGGAGGACACCAGGGGCCAGCCACCCAGCCACACAGCCAGACATCAAGTAAGAAGGAAAGAAAGCTATATGGAATAGAGAAAGGTAAAAGCCCAGAGCAAAAGGTAGATGGGATAATTTAAGAAAAGCCAAGCTGACTGAAATTCGGGAGAAGCTAGCCAAAATGTACAAAACCACACCAGATGTCATCTTTGTGTTCGGATTCAGGACCCACTTTGGTGGCGGCAAAACGACTGGCTTCGGCATGATCTATGATTCTCTAGATTATGCTAAGAAAAATGAGCCCAAACACAGACTGGCAAGGCATGGCCTCTATGAGAAGAAGAAGACCTCCCGGAAACAGCGGAAGGAGCGCAAGAACAGAATGAAGAAGGTCAGGGGCACGGCAAAGGCCAACGTTGGTGCTGGCAAAAAGCCAAAGGAGTAGATCTGCGGTGATTTGATCTGCGGTGTTGTACAGACAGTTTCGGGGAGAACAAATAAACTAAAAGCTTATGTGTCTGGAAAAAAAAAAAAAAAAAAAAAAAAAAGAAAAGCCAAGCTAAGGCCAGGCATTCATAAATAAGTGTCCATGTATTTATTTGGGAGCTGGGTGGTGGGCCCCCCAAAAGTAAAAACAAACAAACAAACAAACGAAAAACTCCAACTACAGAATTGTTTATCTAGTTGGCTTAAAAACACACACTAGGATCATTAAGGCCACAGAAACAGTGTGTACAGAGGCCAGTTCCTCACTTTGAATACTACCTCCAACAAACAAAAATCTATTGAGAAATGGCTGAGTTCAGTGTAGCAGGTGATTAACAAAAAGCAAAGAGGGGTGCCAAAGGAGAACAGAGAGAAGATACAGATATTCCTAGAAGAGCATCCCTATTTTCTAGGACAACTCACATGCTATGTATTGAATATGACATTGTGTGTGGAAATCACATACTGAGAAAGGAAACGTGTAGGCAGACTTTTCTTTCTCAACCACCAGTTCCCAAATAACCAACACAGAGACTCAATATTAATTATAAATGCTTGGCTGATAGATCAGGATGATTACTAACTAGCTCTTACAACTTAAATTAATCCATATTTTATCGCTGCCTGGAGTACCAGGCTCTAGGCAGTGCAGGGCTCAAAGGGAAAATCCACAGCGTAGGTGAATACTGGACTTTTCTATTGGAGGGGGTTAGGTATCTCACACATTCTCTTGATCTTTTCCTTCTTTATTCATCTGCCTCTTCTGATGGACTCGCTGGGCTGGATTCAACTAGGGCATCCCTCCCAGCTATACAGAAGCATATTTATAAATTGTTACATAAATTATTTCCTCATACCAAGGTCCCCATCCTTAATTTACATGTCTTACTGAAGGGGAGCACCACATGCCTGCACAGCCCTAGCCCTTCACTATGTACAAGAGTCCCAGATGTGCCTGAGGTGTCGTGGGATGGCCACAAGGCCCCCTCAGCAAAATAATTATTGTTTTCCATAAGGACTCTCCAAGGTCAAGGTACTTCTAAAAAAAATCTGTTCGTTCAAATCTCTGTCCCATACAGTCACTTTGCTAAATTCCTACAGAGTACAGGTAACATGTTTTTCTCCTCCCTTACATGATTAAAAACAAAGTCATCTCAATATCCCATATACATTTACGTCTAAGTAACTATTGCAAGTTAACAGAACATGAGCAGGTAGAAAGCATCTTTTCACAGCCAACATCCTTGCTGGCTTGGCATACACCACAGCTACAAAGAAAGAATCAATCATTCTACTGTCTATCTAGAAAGTTAATCTTACAAGGAATCCTAAAGGAATCACAAACCTAAACTTTTGTACATAAAAGACAGTCAGTCGACTGTACTTCAGATCTTCAAGGTGTATACCCGTCTATCACTAGTTTCTTATGTCAGGACATTGAGGGCAGGAATGGGTATAAGGAGTTAATCATCACATTTGATCAACAAGCAACCTTAACAGTTGGGCTGCTTTATATTTCTTAACCTCAGCTATGTGTGTTGTTGTAACGTTAGGTTGTTGTTGTTGGTGTGTGTGTGTGTGTGTGTGTGTGTGTGTGTGTGTGTTTCATCTTAAAGTAATGTTCAAAACATTTGATCTAACCTGAAGTTCTTATAAGGCTTTGTTGCAGTCAAATGATGCACACTGAGACCTGTAACTGTTATCTTTTTAGCATTAAGAGAATTAGGGCCAGCCTGGCTTCCAGATAATTCAAATGTTCTCCTAGTCAACTACCCACGCTGTGATCTAAAGCAGCTCCTAAGGTGGAACTCAGAGGCCTTAGCTGTGAAACATATCCTTGTATATACTTTTATTCATCAAGGCTCTGTATAGACTAATGTTATTATTATTATTATTATTATTATTATTATTTTTTTTTTTTTTTTTTTTTTTTGGTTTTTCGAGACAGGGTTTCTCTGTGTAGCTGTGCGCCTTTCCTGGAACTCACTTGGTAGTCCAGGCTGGCCTCGAACTCACAGAGATCCGCCTGGCTCTGCCTCCCGAGTGCTGGGATTAAAGGTGTGCGCCACCACCGCCCGGCTAATGTTATTATTATTAATTAGACAGTACAGCTTAGGGAGGAAGTCACCTTCATAATAATTTGCAGGTAAAAATGCCCAGTAGAACAGGATGTTCCAATGAGATAAACATATTACCTTACAGGCAGTGGGGAATTTCCCCACACCCAGTTCAACCATGTCAGATACCAGAGAAAGATGGCAACAGCAATCAAGTAAAGGCACAGCAGAAGCAAAAGACACTCCAGGGTCTGTGGTCTTGTGGGGGGAGCTTACCTAACTGAGAATTATCCATCAAGGGGTTTCCTACTAGTGGACTGACACCCTGAACTTCAATTGCAACCTGCTGCTCCTCTGACATGGCCTCTGACAATATTTCTTATCTAAGTTCTACCACGTGGCTCATGGCTTCTTACCTCATTTTGTACCTTTCCTGCTTCCTCTGCAACTGGCTGGTGACTCTGTAGACTCCACGCTTCTTCTTCCCAGTATCCTTCTAATCTGACTCTCCCACCTGTCTCTTCCTGGCCAGCTATAGGCCAGTCAGCTCTTTATTAACAAATGAGAGTAATATATATTTACAGTGTACAAAGATTGTTCCACAGCAAAGGAGCATTAAATATGCTATATTATGCAAAAATATAGGACCCAAATTATCAGAAAATGCCTAGGCACATTCCAAAAAGAAAAAGCTAGTATTCCTCGCGCCAACTCATGAAGGAAAGCAAACACTGATTTAGAGCAAGGTGACAGCAGAGGATTGGTATCTAGACTGACTGTCACACACATCGGGATTAACTGACTCCATACCTTTGCACTTCTCTTTCCCATGTTGGGCTTTACCCCAGGCTCTTGGGAGCATGAGAAAACAAACTGTACCACCCAGCTGTGCTCCACGCCCGGTAAACTCTTCTTGAGTCCAAGTTGTTTTAAGAACATATTTGTAGGGCACATTCCATTTTTATTGAAGATAAAGTCCAGGATCTGCATCAAAGAACTTTTCCATCTGTTAGTTTGGTGGTGGGCACATGATGAGCCACCAGAATGTCCTTCTTAACCTGCACATGCTGACACATCCCAAACACTAAAGGAAAGTTGGTCACATGCTCATCAAGGCTGCCCCCTGTGCTGCACTCTAGACCAAGCATTGGAACTTGGAACCAAGCCCTGGAGAGCTCCTTGCTCAGGGCTTCACACTGTCTGGACAGGGCCCTGATGTAGGAAGTACAGCATGTCCAGAGGATGGACGGGAGTAGGACCAGCTGAAGAAATGGTTTGTGCAGGGTCTGGGCTGCAGAGGAAGACTAAAGAGCAGGAGCCATAAGAACAGGGACTCAACATGGTCCCATAGAAATGGCCCGGGACAGGCAGGCCACTGAGGGCTTCCTTCCTTTCAGGGCTGGGACAATAGACTCAGTTTTAAGACAACAGCAGTCCTCAGCAGCACTCCTGATTCAGCCCCTGCTGTGCACTTGAGATCTCCCAGTTCTCTCTATCAAGTCTTCCCATTGCTCTCCTGGGACACTTGCCTTCTCCACAGGGTTTGTTTCTTCCTCAGCCATAAGCTCACAGCCTGTGACAGGGACTCTTCATTTCAAACACAACTCATCCCTGTAACTGAGACTGCTGCCTGGACTTGTGATCCTGTGCTGGTCTGGTGCACATGAAGGGCAACACTGGCAATTTGTCATCTGTTTTTAGAAAAGTGCAGTGCCCCTTGAGGAGGGAAATTCTGTAGTTGAAGAGAAATTAGCAATGTATACCAAGATAAAAGAGGCCAGCCCTGGACACTGGTAGGATATCAGACTCAGGTAAGTGACATGCATCTCTGAAGCCAACCACATCATCAGGTAATGATTAATAAAGATCTATGAACCAACGATTGTAACAAAAACCACAAATGAGCATGTGAGTCTGTGCATAAAGTCAGTGGTAGATGTCCTTGTTTGTGGATAAGAGCTGTGAGTCTGAACTTGACACAAAGTAACAGTAATTATTACTAGCTTGGAAATGGCATTACTAATGGTGACAAGGCAATTTTTCCACAGTAGTAACTGCAGGGTTGCACAGATGCACTGAGGCCCAGAGCATGCTGGGACAGACTGTTGAGAGTCATCCAGGTGAAATTAAGTGTGGATTGTGAAATTCCTTTCTGCCCTTCAGCTCCTGATTAAAACAGGACAAAGGTTAAGACAAATATGTTCTTACAGGATATTAGCTTGATCATTAGATAAATAAACAGGGACCAGTGTAACCTGTACTTCAGTTAGCCTTGAATTTGGGACAATGTTTTAATTCTGTAATTTAAGGCTACTTAACAAACTATCCCCCACAGTCAGTAGTGTAAAGTCACATTTTGTTATTATAGCTGAGGGTTCTGTGGCTTGACTCTGTGATTCCATTAATGCTTCTAGTGCGGTCTGCCTTCCTTTGTTTCTTCTTTTCTTGACCAATGTGTTTCATTAGGGTTGTTCACAGGAGCATGGATGACACGTTATTTAGAGACACATAAGCATTAAACCAACGGATCCGTTAAAGGACTCTGGCTCTTCAGGAAAGGGTGGTGGCTTGTGAGCCTCCCCCTGATTTGTCTCATTTCTAGTCTGTTATGAAACTCTGGAATCTTGAACTCTGTGGGAGTCCATGGGAGTGGCTGTTCCCTATTGGTCCCCACCTTCTTGGTAAGAATGGTTACCTTATTAAAGGAGCTTGCACAGTCATCTGGAGCTGCAGTTGGGGAGCTGAGTGGAGAGGAAGCCTGGACTCTCACTAGGTCAGTTCTCTCTCTCTTTTTTTTTTTTTTTTTTTTTTTTGGTTTTTCGAGACAGGGTTTCTCTGTGTAGCTTTGCGCCTTTCCTGGAACTCACTTGGTAGCCCAGGCTGGCCTTGAACTCACAGAGATCCGCCGGCCTCTGCCTCCCGAGTGCTGGGATTAAAGGCGTGCACCACCACCGCCCGGCCAGTTCTCTCTTTTATAACCTGTGTGACATGTTCTCATTTCTGCATCACTGGAAAGTAGCTTTTCAGTGCTTTATTTATTATGCATTAATTGCACAGAACAGCTGGTTTTATTATGTAATTTCCACTCATGTATGTTATATACTTTGATCATATTCACTCCCCATTTCCATTGATTTTACCTGTTTGACTCTGGCTCATGTGAAATATTTTGTGACTCAACATCGAGTAGCAAGCTATTTCTCCTCTTTTCCTTCTCTCTTTCTATTGTCCCTCCCTCCACCCTTCCCCTCCTCCATCCCTTCTCCCTCCTTCCTCATCCTGGTTTTCAGTCTTCTCTTCTTCTATTCCTTCCCTCGTCTCCTACTCCTCCTTTTTCCCTTCTGCTTCTCTCTCTGTTCCCTCCTCCCACCTCCTCCTCCTTCAGAGTCACTGAGCCGAAGGGTGGGGTTTAATGTATTTGCAAGGGACTCTAAATAATGGGATTCAGGATAGTGAGGAGTAGACCTGGACTGTCCTCTCAGGGAAACCTAAGATCAATAGCGTTCTTCCCTTGAATTGCATGTGCCGATCTCACAGAGAACTTGCAGATTGCTCTCAGGTGAGAACTTAAATTTACCCAGACTCTCCCAGACCACCCTCCCAAAGCACTTCCCCAATTGGGTTTTCTACCACATTTGTCTGTCGTGTGGATTCTGATTGCTTTGATAATTCTGTTTAAATAGCAGAGTAGCAGGTTTCACACTTAGGATTTGTTACTTTATTACTATCTTAATATTTAATTGCCCAACACAACCTCTGTTAAAATGGTAAGCCCAAGAAAGCAAATGGAAAAGAAAAGTGTGACTAACTATTGAGCCCCGGGAGATCTGAGGACTGTGGACTGAGCCTTCCATCATGTACCAGGGAGCAGCTGTCTGCTTATTTCCTCCGTGATCACAGATGTGTGAAGGAGGGAATGAACGGGAGACCAGAAAACAGTTTAAAATCCTGTAAGAAGACATGGCAGGAAGAAATGAGTCTGTAGAAGAATGAAGTTAAATACAAACTCTGATATCAAGCTGTGGCCAATCCTATGCTAAGGTTCAAAGCATTCATCACGGATATGGAAAAATTCCATAGTGGACCCTTAACTTGTGCAGCTCTAAAACAGGGAGATTAAAGGGAGAGCCACACAGCTCAGCAGAGATGTCGTTTTTTAAGGTGTAAGTCACTATATGGCTGCAAGGCAAGTGATGCTGAAGAATGGCTGCAACCCAGGGAAGATAGGATGAAAGTCTTTGAAAGCCTCAGACTCTCAGAGTCCCTGTGAAGTCCCCAGTACAGACGCTGTGCAGAGCAAACTAGAGTTCATGGAGAAAACAAAGAAAAGCAAAGACAAAAAAGAACAGAGTGTTATAAAGTCCTATAGGAAACTGTGAGGTGCCCATGAGCAGCAAGTGTAAACTGAGGGCAGGGAGGCCGACATCTGAGGGGTAAGAATGTTGCTGAGGCCTGGTGATACTGACCCAGTAGACAGAGCCCACCAGCTCTAGAGGATCTGATGTCTTCTTCTGGCCTTTGCAGTCACTGCACCCATGTGCACCGACAGACAGACAGACAGACAGACAGACAGACAGACACACACACACACACACACACACACACACACACACACACCTGCTCACTGTGCAGGAACTGAGCTGCGCTCTCCAGGGTCTCCTCGTCATGGAACTGTATGGACAGCCTCTCTCCTGCAAACATATGACAGGGACAGCTCCTCACCAATAACTTTGTGGAGATGAAGTAAAGTTTCAATGACCAACTGCCCATCACGTGGTATTACTGCATCAACCGCTCTCTTCTGAACATAGAACAAGATCCAGTGTTCAGTGGGAAACAGAACTGCAACCAAGAGATGAGCCCTTCTCCTGGGGGAGCTAGGATTTGGCACAGCCAGGGTCACACCAAGCCATCGACATCTTCTGAACTGAGCAGCCCAGGAGCCAAAGGACTGGGAAGGGACTTTGTCTCATCCCCTCTGTGATGGCTCTGCTGTCCAAGGTCAACAGGCTTCCAGTCCTTCATCACTCTAGGATCCGGGCTGCTCCGTTTATGTCCTCAAAGAGAAGGCACATGGCCAGCTGAGACCTGTTTGGTGCAATTGCAGGTTTGTGGTCACTGATGGGTGAGAAATTAGTCAATAAGACCTTCCTGCGCCCCCTGGAAGCTGCCCATGAAGAAGGCAGACTTCCCTCCTCTCATGTTGTGTTATTAAACACATCCCAAAGCACAGTCTCCCTGGGATTGATCTCTTTGCTTTTCCTTCACAGTTAGTGAAACCACAGTTGCTGCCATGGCTGGGAAGCCCGTGCTTCATTACTTCAATGGCCGAGGCCGAATGGAATGCATCAGGTGGCTACTGGCTGCAGCAGGGGTGGAGGTAGGTTGTGCATTGTGCTTCTGGAACCAGACCTAAGATAAGTTTAAAATACTTCTCTAAGCTGAGAGACTCCACACCAGGAAAACTGTAAACATTTTTGCCATAAATGGTAGTCATCTTGGTGCCCATGGCACTGCCAACACTAAGAAGGCTGGGACTATAATTATGCCCACAGTCAGTCCCTAAACCAAGTATGACACCTTGATCAACCAGGCCACATGCTGTAACTACCCAGTGCCTGTGGGAGATAATGGGAGCATGCCCAGTGTGCCCAGACACCACCACGACGCTCAGGGTCCAAAGCTGGCATGGCTGAAGAACCTGTCCTCTTGCAGTGGAAGAGCCCCCCTTCCCTGGTGCTCCCCATAGAATGTGAACACCAACCCCACAAAAAAATGATAATGAAGAGGAGATAGATAGATTTGAACAAATGAAAATCTTATTATGCTCTCTACCAAAGAATACATTCACATTAAAAGATGTTTTCAGGAGAAAAAAATCAAATACCTATGTGGTTTGTTGCTCTTTTGAGCTGAATCAAGTTACAAGAAGAGACATATAGAAATAAAACTTGAATATTGACTATTAGGAAATATTAATTGATTATTGCATTTTATGGAAAGAGACTGTGATTTTGGTGTGACACTGTCCTTTTAAAAAGTGTACTTATGCCGGACAGTGGTGGCACTCCACCCTAGTCCCTGCACTCAGGAGGCAAAGGCAGGCGTATCTCTGTGAGTTCAAGGCTAGCCTGGTCAACAGAGCAAGTTTCAGGACAGCCAGGTATATTACAAAGAAAAATCCTGTTTCGAAAAACTCAAAGGGGGGAAAAAGAGTACTTACATTTGGAGGTTCACGGTGAGGTGTTTGTGAGAGGGACATGTGACACCTCAGCTCTGACATTAAGGTCAGAGTCACAGAGAAGATGGGCACAAGGTGAACAGGGTGACTTTACCTGGTGGTTGTTGGAGCTGGCGATTGATGGATGGAGGCTCTTTGCAACTTGTGTGCAGTTTTACAGCACAGACCCAGGAATTTCCATGATAAAAATGGTTTAGAGGGGACAGGAGACCGAAGTGATGTCTCAGTGGTCAAAATCCAATAATGTTCTTGCAGAGGACCCACACGGGCTGCTCACAACTGCCTGTTACCCCAGCCTCAGAGGGTTCCCGTGCCTCTGATCTCCATGGGCACTTACACTGCCTCCCACTATACTCCTATAATACAAAAAATGTTAAAAGGGTAAATTATACAAGAGAAGCTTAATAGATTTAAATTAAAGGTATACACCACAAATGGGAAACTTGACACAGAAGGCAGTAACAGCCCTCCTGTCAAAGCAGATCAATACTCAGTAATCAGTTTGTAGAGACTATCAAATGCCAGGCCCAGGCCTGGTTGGAAGGGTAGGTGGTGAATAAAACAGAGGCCCCATCTTCAGGTGGCCCCCATGTCTGTGAGCTTTCACCTAAGTGTGTGAGTGGCCCAAGTGAGGTGTGGAAGCAGCATTCTGAGGTTAAATGTTTTCCTTTCCAGTTTTAGAGCAGAAAGTTCTGGTAGGCTTTAGTGCTGCCCTCTAGAGGTGTCACTGGGAAAAACACTACCCAGTTCACATCAGGGCAGCTCAGTAGTTGGCATTTCCTGAGAGGAAGTCAGGGGCACTCCCTGAGATCTTGACTTCAGGAGGCTTGAAGGATGAAGTGCTGTCCTGTGAAGGCTGCTTTGGTGTCTTCCCTCCATGTCATGGCAACGTGTTTACCTCAGCTATGGAATCACACATCCATTCCTAAAGGAATAGGGAGGGCTTCAGTTGGATCCTTTCTGAATGAAGGGGTGCATAAGAACCGAGACACACTATGCCAGTCCGGGAGGAATGCTTTAAATAATTGAATAATTGGGCGCCAGTGTCTGTATGCCAGCTTTGCGGCTCAGGGATATGTTCTAAGCCACTGGACTGCTGATTCAGTACAGGAAGAGGGGGTGGGGCATCTGCATAGACGCCTTCCTGTTCCGTGTCCCAGAGTGACTGAGAAGGCAGTGGGCAGGGGCTATTAGAGACCCTGGCTCACACCTTCCAGACTCAATGTGCCCACAGGCCGCCCATTGACCTCATCACCCTCACACCCACCAACCCCATCACAGTTCAGCCACCCTCTGTGATGACATCAGCACTCTCTGCAGCTCTCTGAAAGCTGTGCAAGTTGTCGACACTCACATTTCATTCCCATCAGTTCAGTCCGGGCGGTTACGGAGTCATCCGCAAACTGCCTCGCCAAGTAAAGAAGCAGCTGATTTTCAGCCTTTCATGATTGAAAAGTTTCTTTAAACCGTGAGAGGAAGAGAGTGGCTTATTACTCTAGAAGGCTGGAGAGATGGCTGGGTGACTAAAGATTAAGCCACATGGGTTCGGATCCCAGGAACCCATGTAAAAGGCCAGAGTGGGTTTTCATTGGGTATGTGTATCTTCACACAAAAATATATTAATACGTATACATAAAACAAATAACTATTTAAAAAATACAGTAACAGCCCCACAATGTAAGCAAGTTTGATGTGGGGCTAGAGTAATAGCTTGGTTGTTTAGAGTTCTTATTGCACATACAATGTACTATGGTTCCCAGCATTCACATATGACAGTTAAAACTGTTTATCACCCCATATCCAACTGAATCGTAACCTCTGGCTTCCATGATCTCTGACCTCTAGATGGGTGTTTTTACATGCATAAGACCCCCCCCACCCACACACACACACATACATTTAAAATTAGTAAAACTAAATCCTGAAGAAAAAAAAAACAGGTATACCGGGACCATACCTTGTGCCATTATGAAGACACAAAAAGTTCTATTCTGTTATCACTGAAGTTAACAGGCTTTGCTGAGAGTTCAGAACCTCAACAGTCCATTTCCCAGTGCTGGTCCTCCAGTGAGAACACTCTCTTTTTAGGACTTAAGCATGGACATAGTTTGGTCAGGGAGGAGGAACACTACAAGAACGAGCAGCTTTGTTATGGTGAACACTCTTTTGTTGATGGATCTAATCTGAATTTCCAAGTGGCCAGGTTCAGACTCCTTCGTGTCTACTGCAAGTTTTAACTTCTGCAGATGTACTACCAGACACAGACCACTCAAGTTCAAAAGTCTACAACAACACAGAATGAGCTAATGAAAATGCATTTACTTTTTCTGTCTTCAGTTTGAAGAGAAGTTTATAGAATGTCCAGAAGACTTGGAAAAGTTAAGAAAAGGTAACACCAAGTATCCATATGTGTTCAATGTGGTGCCTAGTAGAAGGTTTACCAGAAGGTGATGTTGGTGGGTAGTGGGTAGTGGGTAGTGGGTAGTGGGTAGTGGGTGGGAATAGTCAAGAATGGCAGAGTGATATGATGTAGGTGGTGGGTTTCCTTGAGTGCTCTGAAAATGGAAACGATGATTAGAGTGAGGAAGTTAGTTTTTCCAAAAATTCGACTGGTGACTGGTAAATAAATGTTTTCTTACTATTTCTGCACATCAGAGTGAGCTATTTCATTCAGGCTCACTTTCATTCACTTCTACCATCATTATTTTCACCCACAATGCCCAATAACCACACAGGTACATGGCCATTGATTAAATCATGGGTGGACAAACAGCTGGGATAATTTTCTTAAGCATTTTCATTACAGCTACTGATGAGTTACTATCACCCCACAAATACAGACTGGAGGAATCAGTGGCTCACTACATAGGAAACTGTCATACACCTTATGTCTTGAAGATAACTAGACTTCCAAACTCCCTACATAGCTCTATTTGCATGGTGGCCCTCTGCTCTCCCTCCTAACTTCTCAAATGTATCCAGAGACAAGAATTGAACATAAAAACATGCATGAGAGATGTAATATGCATCTGGATAGGAATTAACAGTGAATAAGAGAAGCTCAAAAGCCAACAGAAGATCATGAGACAAAGAGGAAGCAGGAGCTAAAAGTACATGGGATTTTCATTACAGACTGGCTGCCAATCACTTATCTTTCCTTTACATGATCAGACATTTCAATACAACTTTTCTGTTCCTGAGAAGTGAGACTTGAACAGACCTTTTGCCTTTCTTCTTTCAAAGAAGGGAAACTGATGTTTGAGCAAGTGCCCCTGGTGGAGATTGACGGGATGATGCTGGTGCAGACCAGAGCCATTCTCAATTACATCGCCACCAAATACGACCTCTACGGCAAGGACGTGAAGGAGAGAGCCCTGTACGGTACATTTCCTGTTATCACTCCAAGGAAAACGAAGGAAGGAATTGGTGTCTCCATCAATGAGCAAGAGAGTGGCAGGCTTTGAGTCTAGGAGCAGGCTGGTGATGGATATGAACACTTAGACTAAGTAGGAAGAGTCCATGGAGGAGAGGGAAGAGCTGCTGGGGTGGGTTCAGCTGAGTGTGACTGCAGCAGAGGATGATGTTGCCAGCACAGCATGGGGACAGAGTTGCAAACATGATGTTCCAAGGGCCCTGAGCATGGTGGAGTCAGGACTCCAGGTGCTCAAGGCTTCAGTGACTGGACCTCAGCCAACAGCTTAGGACAAAGGACACAGGGCTTGAGGCTAGAGGAGGAGTCCTAGGGAGGGAAGGGGGAAGGAGCTGCTTCCCACATCCCAGGAGTGAAAATAGTGCAGAGCAAGACCTGAATTGTCAGCAAGTTCTATGGCCTGGTCAACTCAATGAGGCTAGATAGACCGGTTCCCAAGGACCAAGAGTACCTAAAGCATTTAATTCAGAACTAAAGCAGCCAGGCTGACTGTACCACCAATGCTGGGACTCACTGTAACATGACAAAGTCCTTCATTCATAAACCACTGTGTATGAGTATTGTAGTTGCTCAGAGAGCTAAATGTGGTGCTAGCCAGCAACACCTGTGTGGGAAACATATGTCCATGCAAAGAGAGACTCGGCTTTAATAGTGCTTGTATAGAAATACACCTAACAACATTATTTATAATTTTCTCATGGTGGACTCACCCCAGATATTCAATAATAGAGGAAAGAGGAGCACAACTTATAATTTTAGCCATGAAAATATCTGAAGTGCTGAGGGGGGCAGACAAAGGTCAAGTGGGGACACTGCATTACGTGAAGTAAGCAGACAACAGGGCACATGCTCCACGGTTCATTCCAAAGGAAACGTTCCTGTCCTCCCCGTGGATAAGAAAGGAAATGGGTCAGCACCTTCTGGAGCAGCTGCCACAGGGGCAGGATTAGAGGTTTGAAGGGAGTGAGGATCAAACTCTTCTAACATTGGAGGATGTTAACATGCTTAGACCGCTACAGATGCAGGGAAACACAGAATACCACCTTTTCGGGGGCCAGCAATGGTAGTTTGTGAAAATGTGACAACAAAACTCTTTTCCAAAAGCGCTGTGTGAAATACAGCTTAAACAAGGGAACACATGGGTCCTGTGCTGTGCTGTGGGCCAACTGAATAAAGAAATAGACAAGTCTTGACAAATGTTAACAAGGCCAGAGTCTAGGAGCAGTGTGTGGAGGACATACAGATGTTCTTCATGAGAAATGACTGGAGAACTTCTAACACTGACCAAGAATGATTCTGGACCATGCAGCAGAAGGAGACATGCACAGAGATGCATCTGGTGCTTCAACCAGGGCTCTGTGTTGAGCTTACATGGGAGGCAGAGTGTTAGCTCTGAGTTTCTGAGCAGGGTTGTTGAGAACAAATTATGTCAGAGAGAAAGAGAGAGAGAGACAGAGACAGAGACAGAGAGACAGAGACAGAGACAGAGACAGAGAGAGAGAGAGAGAGAGAGAGAGAGAGAGAGAGAGCTGTAGACGATGATGGTTATCTTCTGGAATGCTAGTGATGCTCTTTGTCCTTGGGATGGGCCATGTGTGTAAAAAAAATTCGAAAAGTGTATCTGAACCGACAGGATATCCTAGAAGGAAAGTTAATATATCTGTTAAATATAAAAGATAATAACCCACTAGAGGTGAATAAGCTTGCAACCACATTTCAGTGTAAATTTCTCAGGTTTGTAGATTAAAATGTAAAATAGTAAATCCCTGAAAACCCTTGACCATTTGGATAATTTTGTCTTTCAGGATTGACATGTATTCAGAGGGTATTGTAGATCTGACTGAAATGATCATGCACCTGGTTGTATGTCCCCCGGACCAAAAAGAAGCCAAGATTTCCTTGGTAAAAGACAGGACCAAAAACCGGTACTTGCCTGCCTTTGAAAAAGTAAGTAGGCTCTTTGAAGTCAGGGGACACTGAGTTCCAAGGACAAGAGAAAGGTAGAGTCTGGGAGAGAAAGGTTGCTGCAGTGCTGACCTTCCATGAGCCTCTCTGTGCAGCCCCCTGCCCCACAGGGCACTGTGGAAAATGGTCTGTGAAGGAGCCCTGCATGGTCATCCCAATCTAGGGGTCAGTATGCAACAGGGTTCATGGCCACAACCAGAATTTGATCTGTGGAAGGCTGAGCCACACCAGAGATGGACCCAGATCCTGCAGAACACAATGGGCTTCAATGCCAGAGGAAACTAAGAAAAACACAGATGGGGAAATATTCTGTCACATCACACAGGAGGCCAGAGAGTGACTGGCTGTCGGGAGAATATGATAGTGCTTCAAAGACAGAGGAGAAGTACCTGAACAAGGACAGGGATGGAGGGTGGAGAAGAGGAAGATGATGAAGAGATGTTAAGGAAAACTAACCCGCCGTAATTGGGGTCACAGATGCAGGGCTTGGGAGGAGAGCCGTGCACACTCAGCAAATGAAGGCGTGTCAGTGACATGGAGTGCCTCTCTTAGTCAGGGCTTCTCTTTGGAGGAAGATCAAGAACACTTCATAAATACTTGATCTTCTGTCAAGTAAAAGATAAGAACAGAGCTATGATCCTAGAGGATAAGGGCATCCTACACATTCCTGAGAGACCTGACTGTGACCCCCATGTTACATAGCATCACCTTATTTTTCATCCTTTCACTGAAAGTTCACTCATGGCTGTCTCTACTCTGTGGGAGGGTTTTAGGGCCATCAGGTCCTCACACAGCCCTCTAAAATCAAGGCCCTGTCTCCTAAGACATAATGTCCAGCCATCACCGCTTACAGCATCCGGGGTATGAGATTTATAACCTCCATGCACACAATGAACTATGTACTGAGAACATTTGATGCTGCCTTTTGTATTTTAGTTTTTCTTCTTTTTTCCTTTTTTTTTTTTTTTTTAAACAGGGTCTCTCTATTATGTAGCTCTGGCTCTTCTGGAACTCTCCTTGTGGACTGGTCTTGAGCTCACAAAGATCCACCTGCCTCAGCCTCTTGAGTGCCGGGATTAAATGTGTGTGCCACCGTGCCTGGCTTCCTTTTGTTTCTGGATGTGCTAATTATATTTTTCTCTGTAGACATGTACAGTGTGAGAAGGTGACCACAATGCCTTTTATAGTTCTTTACTTGTAGCTCATGATTTAAGAATAGCTTTTCCTTGTGGTTGTCTGTGATTTTCATATTTCTGGGATATTTAAGTAAATGCCATATGAATGTAACTAAGACAGTATTATTATCCAATCTTCACACAACCAGAAATGTTGAAATAAATGTTAAATAAATACATAGCTACCAATCAGATAGCAAGATTAGCACCATATGGTGTTGGCATGCTCATCTGTCAACATTCATGTGTTATCAGTACAATGCTACTTACAGACTCCAACTCAGTTCACCCTGTGCAATTCAGCATGTTAATCATGACACAGTGAAGGTTGGCAGTCAGAGCCAATGCTGTAAAGGGGAGGGTGTGCTGTAGTTCAGACAGGTGTACTTCAGATTCCAGAGATCCCAGGAGAGCAGACAAAGGAGAAAGCAGACACGGGATGTTCTCTGGTGACTGATGCTCCCTGCAGATGGAGCCTCTGCACAAGAGAGATTTAACAGAGGAAAGGGAGAGGAATGTCCTGACATTCCAGTGTCCCATCGGCTTAAAATAAGGGGAAGAACCATGATGTGTCAAGGCTAAGCCCTTACCATATGTGGAAAATATACAGAAAGGTGGATGGAGTGAAGGCCATAGGAATTGGCAATGGCAGAGAAAGGTCACCGAGGTTTAAAGAGGAGGTCGCACACCTGACTTCTCCCTCTCCCTCTTGTATCATAGGCCTAGAGAAATGTCTGCACTTCTATCCCTGCCAGGCAGAGGCAGAGCGACCCCTTGGGGGACTTGGGAAAAGTCAGTGGTCCCTGCCCAACTCCATGTTCATAATCTGTCTCCTTTAATTCTGCAGGTGTTGAAGAGCCATGGACAAGACTACCTTGTTGGCAACAGGCTGACCAGGGTGGACATTCACCTGCTGGAACTTCTCCTCTATATTGAAGAGTTTGACTCCAGCCTTCTGGCCCCTTTCCCCCTGCTGAAGGTGAGATCACCTCAGAGAGGCAGCCGCACACACATGCCCCGAGAATATAATGGTGGCCTGTGGTCTTCCTAGGGCCCATCGTCAGGCCTCCAAACTGAGCTACTAGAACCTGGTTTCAGGCAGGAAAATTATCTTTTGTGTATGGAAACTGGAGGCTGGTACTCCAAGAAGAATATTTTGTCTTTTGGCATGAGTAAGATGCAAGAGTTTCCCTGGAGCCCTGTTTTTTGCAGGATGCTTCTGGCCTTCATCTTCGTTTCATGTGTCCTGTCTTTGCACATTTTTGTCTGAGCAGGTCTCTGTCATGCTGATCCCCTTCCTCAGCTCTGACTACTCAACACTGTGCTTCCCTCTCCACAGCCCCCACCATGCCGACCTCCACCCCCCCCAGGGACCCCATCCTTTTCTCCAGGTGTGAAAACTGGCTGTGAGTTGCTCCTGCTTAGACTGAGATTTTCTCTGTCCATTTCCAACTCAGTTTTTCATGTCTTCAGTTTTCTTTGGTAGTCTCTGCTTTCACACCTGAGAGACACAGTGCTCTGTGCTCTGCACCACAAAACCAGACCTACAGGGTGTGTCAGGGACCTGAGGAGAAGGTAATTGGATGTCAAAGGAGATATTAAGGAACATTATCTGAACTATGGTTTCAGCTCATGGTTTTATCATTCTTCTCATGTCTACACTGGAGCTGTTGTAAGGATGTAGTTGGTCGTGTTCCAGGAGGGGCACAGAGTTTTTTTGACTGTCCACATAAGCCGTTCTGACTCTCAGGCTGTGTTTTCTGAATTACAGGCCCTGAAGAGCAGACTCAGCAGCCTGCCCAATGTGAAGAAGTTCCTACAGCCTGGCAGCCAGAGAAAGCTTCCCGTTAATGCAAAACAAATTGAAGAGGCGAGGAAGATTTTCAAGTTCTAGGAAAGCTGCATTGAGAGAGCCCAGAGACACCAGTCTCTGGTGTTTGTAAATAATAAACAGCAGTTGTTCATCCTGGTGTTTGAGAAAATGAACATGAACAAAGGATGTAAATATATATGTCATGTGTTCAAATTGTTGACCTGGGATTGCAGGATCACATTCCAAGAAGGCAAACAATAATCACTACAAATAAGAGCAAAGCTTGTAAAAATGAGAAAAAACTAAGTAAAAAGAACACTAACAAGAGAAAAGAAATGACTAACATCTTTGTAGAATGAGCCACAAAATTTAAAGGTAATATTAATTACAAGACAAAGAAATAAAAATGAAAAAATAGAATAAAAAATAAAGAAGAAAAATTTAAGGTCTAAAAAAAGACTGCAATTGGGGAGAAGGAATTGGATAACTAGTGTAAAGGTATTTTAAGGACAGAAAAAATACCAAAGAAAACAAAATTAAATATTTAAAATAGTGAGGGTGAATCCGGAACGCAGGCTCACAAGTGACAAGCACTGGTTGTTCTTGGAGAGGACCAGGTTAGGTCCCCAGCATCTCCATGACATCTCACAACCACCTGTAACTCCAGCTCCACAGAACCTGATGTCCTCTTCAGACCTCTGTGGTCACTGTTCACCCGTGATATACATACATATATGGAGTCAAAGCATCTCGACATGTAAAATAAAAATTAAAGAATATTTTAATAGTAATCATGGAGAGGAAAATACACATTCATTCAAAATAACAATAACAGAAAATATCTTTGAAAAGTTTCTGCCTTTATCTGGATGTGGTGGCACATGCCTTTAATCCCAGCACTTGGGAAGCAGAGCTACATGGATCTCTGTGAATTCAAGGCCAGCCTGGTCTACATAGTAACTTCCAGGACAGCTAGCACTACAGAATAGTGATGCCCTGTCTCAAATGAATGAATAAATAATAAATAAATTCTGTCCCTGCCCACTGTAATCTGCTGATTTCATCTTTTCCATGCAAGCTCAAATCTCTAGGCCCAAACCTTTCCTGAATACCTTGTGTTGCGGTCTAGCCTGGTGGGTCTGCCTAATCCTACTCTCTGCATACCCTCCCCCTTCCTCAGATCCAGCCTGGGCTCCACACCCATTGCCCTGGTGAGCTCCACTAACACTGTCATCAACCTCTAGCTCAGGCCGGGATGCACATATCACACACAAATCCAGGTTCTCCCCTCAGCTGTGGGAGACACAGAGATCCTTGTGGTCACAGACAAGCACTAGGGGAACTAGGAATGCTAAACACATAGGATTGTCCTATCAAAGAGAATGATGTATTAACTCTTTCCCATCCAGAGGTCTGGGATTGAATATGGCTAACAGCCTGGTGACCTTTGAGCTATCTTAGTATCAAAGACTACACTGGATCTTCTACCAGATCTTCATCATGAGCTGTCAATCTATAGAATCCATCTTTATGGAAGATGTCACATGTACCTTATAAAGAGTTCTGGTATAGTCATGTCTTAAGCTTTATTGTGCCTACAGGATACAGTTTATCAACAGAAATTGTTCAACAAATTTTTCTGTGCTTAAATAAACTACTCAGAGTCAGACTACCTTCTTCCCTCCCATGGATTGTTGTTCTTCTGGCTGTGGTGGTTGCAGAGACTCCCATACCCAAAGCCCCACTACAACCTGAATCCATCCCTTCTGACTGTACCCAAATCCCAATCCCAGACATTCCTAAAACCCCCGTGCCTTATGCCAGACTACTGTGTCCATATCAGACAGAAACAGAACGAACAAAAGTCTACATACCCAGTTCCCACGGAAAACAATACAAGCAATATGAATGATAAAGGCAGTGTCTTTCCCAAGCCAAATCCAGCAGAACTACAGCATGTTCTCCAGTGAGGAATGAACCCCAGAACACAGATCTGAAAGAGAAATCACAAATCCCCTCAGAGGATTCTGAGTGGTTAGAGAAGAAACAAAGAACCAGCTCAATGAAATCAAAGAAGAAAATAAATGCTTGGGTGATGTCCAGAAAACACAGACATGATGGGCATGATGAAGACAACCCGGGGTTTAAAAAACAGATTCGGTAGAAAGATAGAAATATTTAGAGAACTCAAGCTGAAATGAAGGCAGAATCGAAAAACTGAATGATCCAATTAGAAAACTCAGGGGAATGTCTTACATATAGGATGAGTCAAGAAGAAGAAACTGTATCAGTCCTCAAAGATAAAGTAGAGGGAAGAGATCACACAAAGAATATGAAATTAAAAATATATAAAGAAACATCCAGGAAATGTAGGACACCATGAACATTCTAACTCTTAATTATAGGCACAGGTGACAGAGAAGAATCCCAAGTCAATGGCATAGACAAGGTCTCCAACAAGATCACAGAAGAGTTGGTCCTCAAACTTCCCAGTGCTGTGATCCTTTAACACAGTTCCTCATGTAGTGGGGACCCCAAACTCTGATGGACAAATTTTCACAAAAATGGTACTACTTAATTAAAGACCCAGAGCAACTACAATCCACCAATAGAAGAGGCTTTCCATACTTTATTTGCTCCAATAGACAAGTCTTCTTTACAAAAATAAACTGAAAGTGTGAAATAAATGGCATGCATCAAATGGGCTTCACAGAAATCTACAAAATATTCCTCTCACACACCATAGAATATACATTCCAGGTCATGGAAATTTCTCTAAAATAGACCACATCCTGGGACATGAGCAATCCTAACACCAGCTGTCATCCCGATATAGATGGAGGAAATCTTATGGGCCACACCCATAAATAAAGAGCCACAAGCAACTAGCAGCTGTTGAGAGAGAGAGAATTAGGTTTCCTCAGGGACGAGTCCCTTGATTGGATCGAATACCAAGTGGTCAACTCTAGACACACACATGCAGGCTACACTAAACAGATTCAGCAGGTTGTATTCCTGTTTGTTTATGTGTATATGTAACAGCGATTAAAGAAAAGGAGGCTGTGAATTTGGGAGAGATGTTGGGAGGGGTGGACATTAGAGGGATAATAGGGAGGAAAGAGTGGAGAATGATGTAATTACATTTTAATTAAATTTTAAAAAATCACAACAAGGACTGGTGACACTGTCACAAGATGACACTGGGGAAAGGCACCGTCTGTCAAACCTACACCCTGAATTTAATTCCTTTGTTCCACACAGTGGAAGGAGAGACTCAACTCCACTAAGCTGTCCTCTGACCTTTATAGATGCACTGTGACACACACATGTGTGCACACTTAGATGTCCATAAATAAATGTGAGAAAATGGCTGGTGACAGTGTGAGGAGAGAGGAGCCCTTGCTGCCTGCTGGTGTCTTTATCTGGGTTTTGGTGTCAGGGTAATACTGCATCATAAAACGAGTTTGGAAACCTTTCTTCCTTCTATTTCATGGAACAATTCAGGTAATATAAGTGTCAATTCTTCTCTAAGTTCTGGTAGACTTCTGCCGTGAATCCATCTGGTTCTGCGCATATTTAGGGAGGAGACGTTTTTTTAATACTGCTTTAGTCTTGTTGCTGATTATGAATCAGTTTAAGTACTTTTCATCTCACCTTAATTGTGCCACATCATATGCATTTAGAAATTCTTCCATTTATTTTAAATTTTCCCATTTACAGCCACAGACGTTTTTAAAGTATGTTCTTAAGGTTTTCTGAATTTCATGATGTTCTTTCTTGTAAGGTTGAGAATCTGTTGTGATTCTCACGCGTTTGCCTTTGTATTGTGACTTAATACTTTATTCATGCAACGGTGAATGTTTTCCTTGTTCTCTATGTTGAGTGCTTTAACTAAATCGACTTGCAAGTTCTTTCCTAATTTTGTCCATTTGGTGTTCTTTGTGTCTCTTGAGTCCAGATTATCATGTCTTTCTCTGAGTTTGGGGAACTTGTCTCCTATGATTCTATTGAATATATCGTTTATGCCTTTAATGTATTCTTCTCTTTCTAGTGCCAAGATCTGTGAATTTGGCCTTTACCTGCTTAGCCATCTCAAAGATCCAAACAGAACCTGGGTGTCCACGCTTTCTCTTTAGCTGCTGCATCTGTCTTTTGGTGACATTCTATGACACTCAGCCTTTGGTAAAGAATAAAGGTCACACAGGTAGGACTATGTAGTAAAACCCTCTCTCCAAAAATAAATAAATAAAAATAGAAGTCAGAAATGTGCAAAGATTCTCTAATTGTTAAATGTGCTATAAAACAAGAAAACTTCTAGGAGTACCTTCCACCACACATCCTGAGTTTCCCTAGCCTGGCTCAGCCTGTCCCTTTAAGGCCCCACAATAACACTGGTTCTTTGACCTCTTGCTTCATAGCATTGACCACCCTCTACTGGGCTCATTCATTGAACTTGAAGGACCCCAGATGCTGATGACCTGGGACTTAGAATTTCATGTTTCTTTCAATTTGACACACTGTTTGCTTTGGATTGCCTTTTGACTAATAAAATCTATCTTGACTCAGCTACCTCTTTGGTGAAATGCTGCCTGGCCAGTCTCCTCCAGAACATTAAGCACTCCCTTGACTCCATGACCTGCTCACTCCCATCTTATGGGCCCAGGAGCTGGGATTCTTACACTCTGTGGGCATGTGCAACCTCTCTCTGTCCATGCAAATTCTACACACAGTGTATCCTAAACCTAGCTGTCCTGGGGAATTGAGCTCCATGATGCACATTTACATCTCACACTATCAGTGTTAGGAGCTTAGCTTTCGCTCTGAGATAATGGACTCAAATACAAGTCAGTGAGCACTTGAGCCTTGAAATCAGAGTTTCAAGTTCATCAAGTACAGTTTATGCAGCATAAGACACAGAGCCGCCGGGCAGTGGTGGCGCACGCCTTTAATCCCAGCACTCGGGAGGCAGAGCCAGGCGGATCTCTGGGAGTTCGAGGCCAGCCTGGGCTACCAAGTGAGTCCAGGAAAGGCGCAAAGCTACACAGAGAAACCCTGTCTCGAAAAACCAAAAAAAAAAAGACACAGAGCCAACTGAACTGATGAACAACAGTGTTAATCCTGTGGCAGACTGGCCATTCTTTTCATTTCATTCCGTGGAACAGGAGGTTGAAGCGCCACCCTCACACATGCTCTTCTACTCTACTCTATCCCAACCCCTCTTTTTCACACTTGGCTTATTATTATTATTATTATTACTATTATTATTATTATTTTCTTATGTGTGCGTCTCTGGGTATGTCTGATGACTGTGGATGCAGATTCTCATGGAAGCAGAAGAGGGCACTGGATCTCCTGGGGATGGAGTATAGGTAGCTGTGAGCCTCCTGGGTGCTGGGTTCCAACTCTCATTCTCCTAGAGCAGCAATCTCTCTGGCCCCATTTTAAAGCTCCTTCCTTTTGTATTTATACTTTGGGGACAGGGTTTTAGTCTGTACTCTTAGGTGGCCTGGAACTCCTTATACAGATCAGATTGGCCTTGAGTTGACCCCTCCGGCTTCTGCTTGCCATGGGCTGAGATTACAGGCATGTGCCACTGTTGTGCATCAGTTTTCTTCATCTGGAGAGACAGCTCAGGAGTTAAGGGCACTAGTTCTAGAAGAGGAATCATGTTCATCTAGCATTCTCATGATGTGATTCCAGTTTCAAGGTGTCTGTAGCCCTCGCTGTGGACAATGCACACACACTGGTACACATGCATACACGCAGGCAAACCACTAGCATATGTGAACTAAGGCAAAGAAAGAAAGAGAACAGAAACAAAAATCTTTGGAGGAACAGCAGAGGTCCTGGATTGAGAAGAAAGAAATACAAGTCTAGAAGAGCTTTACTATAGAAGTCTCTAGGAAGACTCAAGCTACTTTTTCTTGCATATGACACTGAGGGAAATCATATGTTGAGAGAGAAACAGCATTAACTTGCAAATAATATTTAACTTCAATCAAGTTATTAGAAAATAACACGCCGGACGGTGGTGGCGCACGCCTTTAATCCCAGCACTCGGGAGGCAGAGCCAGGTGGATCTCTGTGAGTTCGAGGCCAGCCTGGGCTACCAAGTGAGTTCCAGGAAAAGGTGCAAAGCTACACAGAGAAACCCTGTCTCAAAAAAAAAACAAACAAACAAAAACAAAAACAAAAAAACAAAAAAAAAAAAAAAAAAAAGAAAATAACAAGGTGAGTCTGATCTGGGCCAGTATGTCATTCTTCAGTGACAGGTCCTTGAGAGAGAGGATGAGGGGATCAGAAGGTAAAGAGACAGGTAAGGTTGGAATGAGAGGTCTTACACAAGCTGTGTCCTATGCCAAGGAAGCTTGTTAAAAAGTACAGCATCCTATATACTATTGTTAGGGGAGGAATGGGACAAAGTCAGCAAAGACTGTCACATGGGGACAAAGTCATCAGAGACTGTCACATATGGACAGAGCCACAGATACTGTCACATATGGGATAAAGTCAGCAGAGACTGTCACATATGGACAGAGTCACAGAGACTGTCACATATAGACAGAGTCAGCAGAGACTGTCACATATGGACAGAGTCAGCAGGAGGCTAATCAAGCAATGTTGCCCAAAGGGAACACAGGGTATCTCAAGAGCATTTCAGAGGGCGAGCACAGCGGCCTTGGGACTGATAACTCCAGTCTCTTCTGGAGGAAAAGCCAAGTTCCCAGGAACCAAAAACTTAACTCCTTCGAGGCCCAGGCTCATCCCCAGACTGGTCCTGTCAAGTTCACTCCTGAGCAAGGACAAACAAAGCCTTAGATTGATCAACTCTCCACAAGACCCAAGACAGGCTCCAAAAGACATGGCTAGCACTCTTCAAAGACACAAACTCTTGAGAGGCAAAGAGAAACAGCCTCAGTGTGATGGCACAAAGGGGTGTTGATGTCCACATTCACTGTCATGCCGGGGAAGAGATTTTGGGGGTTCTTACCTTTGCACTTCTCTTTCCCATGTTGGGCTTTACCCCAGGCTCTTGGGAGCATGAGCAAACAAACTGTACCACCCAGCTGTGCTCCCCGCCCTGTAAACTCTTCTTGAGTCCAAGTTGTTTTAAGAACATATTTGTAGGGCACATTCCATTTTTATTGAAGATAAAGTCCAGGATCTGCATCAAAGAATTTTACATCTGTTAGTTTGGTGGTGGACACATGATGAGCCACCAGAATGTCCTTCTTAACCTGCACATGCTGACACATCCCAAACACTAAAGGAAAGTTGGTCACATGCTCCTCAAGGCTGCCCCTGAGCTGCACACTTGGCCAGCCATGGGAACTTGGAACCAAGTCCTGGAGAGCTCCTTGCTCAGGGCTTCACACTGTCTGGACAGGGCCCTGATGGAGGAAACACAGCATGTCCAGAGAATGGAGGGGAGTAGGCCCAGCTGAAGAAATGGTTTGTGCAGGGTCTGGGCTGCAGAGAAAGACGAAAGTACAGGAGCTAGAAGAACAGGGACTCAACATGAGCCCAGGGAAATGGCGCAGGACAGGCAGGCAGCTGAGGGCTTCCTTCCTTTCAGGGCTGGGACAATAGACTCAGTTTTAAGACAACAGCAGTCCTCAGCAGCACTCCTGATTCAGCCCCTGCTGTGCACTTGAGATCTTTCAGTTCTCTCTACCAAGTCTTCCCATTGCTCTCCTGGGACACTCGCCTTCCCCACAGGGTTTGTTTCTTCCTCTGCCATAAGCTCTCAGCCTGTGACAGGGACTCTTCATGAGCAGTGTTCAAACTCATCCCTGTAACTGAGACTGATGCCTGGACTTGAGATCCTGTGCTGGTGCACATGAGCATCACCCTGAAAGGCAGCACTGCCAATTTGTCATCTGTTTTTAGAGAAGTGCAGAGCCCTTTGAGGAGGGAAATTCTGTAATTGAAGAGAAATTAGCAGTGCATACCAAGATAAAAGAGCCCTGCCCTGGACACTAGTAGGGTGTGTGTGTGTAGCGTCTGAGGAAATGCTGAAAGGAAGACCCCAGAATCAAATAGTATTTAAGAACAGAGAGCATTTATTTACCAGCTTGCATGTGGGTTTGCTCACCTGCACAGGATGGCGATGACCCCAAGAGGGATGTGTAGGCTCCTTTAAAGAACAGCTAAGGGGAGTTTCAGGGTCAACTACACAATTGGTTAAGCAAGCAACATTTACATTAGGATATTTCTAATTGACTGAGGATTAGTCTTTCCATTTTGGACACATCTGTACAAGCTTGGACATGACTCAGAAGGGGCTGCTGGGTTTGTCCTTGAGACACGCTGATGCTGACGCTGACTTAGACCCTCTGTGTTCTTTCTCTCCCTCAGCCCTGAATGTAAGGTCCTTGGAGACAAATGGCCCTGTTTTGGACAAGACACCTGATTGCCCTTCTCAAAGAACTGGAACCTAAATTCAGTGGTTAAAGTGGGAGAGTTTAACCAACCCCTTCAGTGTGCACATAGGTGAGTGACACTCATCTGTGAAGCCAACCATATCATCAGGTAATTAATAAAGACCTATGAACTAATGATTATAACCAAAATCAAATGAGCATGTGAGTCTGTACAAAAGTCAGTGGTAGATGTCCTTGTTTGTGGATAAGAGTGAGTCTGAACTTGGCACAAAGTAACAGCAATTCTCACTAGCTTGGAAATGGCATTAGTAATGGTGACAAGGCAATATTCCACAGTAGTAACTGCAGGGTTGCACAGATGCACTGAGACCCAGAGCATGCTGGGACAGACTGTTAATGATCATCCAGGTGAAGTTAAGTGTGGATTGTGAAATTCCTTTCTGCCCTTCAGCTCCTGATTAAAAGAGGACAAAGGTTGAGACAACTATCATGGTTTTACAGGATATTAGCATGCTTCATTGGATACCATAAGCAGGTGGCAAAATGAGCTCCACTTCACTTAGCCTTGAATTAGAGACAATGTATTAATTCTATAATTTAAGACTATTAACAAACTATCCCAGAATGTCTGTAGATTAAAGCCACATTTTATTATTATAGTTGAGGGTTCTGTGGGTTTGCTCAGTTAAGGAAGGTCATAGTATTTAAGATTCTCATTCAGTTTTTCCTTCTCCTTCCTACCCCTCGCCCCTTGTGTGTGTGTGTGAGAGAGAGAGAGAGAGAAAGAGAGACAGACAGACAGACAGACAGACAGAGACAGAGAGAGATGCTGAGTTTCTACAGAGTTGTTTATAAAAGCATGTGTTATGGCTCTTTACAGGACTGTAGGAACTGCAGTGAAGGACTCCAGATCTCCAGGGAGGCATGGGGACTCATAAATCCCTGCCTCTGATTTGTTCATTTCCAGTCTATCATGAAACTCTGGAATCTTGAACTCTGTGGGAGTCCATGGGAGTGGCTGTTCCCTACTGGTCCCCACCCCCTTGCTAGAATAGTCACCTTATTAAAGCAGCGTCCACACTCATCTGGAGCTGCAGTTGGGGCGCTGAGTGGAGAGGAAGCCCGGACTCTCACTAGGTCAGTTCTTTCTTTTATAACCTGTGTGACATGTTCTCATTTCTGCATCACTGGAAAACAGCTTTTCAGTGCTATATTTATTATGCATTAATTGCACAGAACAGCTGGTTTTATTATGTAATTTCCACTCATGTATGTTATATACTTTGATCATATTCACTTCTCACTACCTTTAATTTTTACCTGTGTTTGATTGCTGGTTCCTATGAATTATTTCTCCTTCTCTTTTCCTCCTCTCTTTCTGTCATTCCCCCTCCATACCTCCCCTCCTCCATCTCTCCTCCCCCTTCTCCCTCCTTCCTCATCCTGGTTTTCAGTCTTCTCTTCTTCTGTTCCTTCCCTCGTCTCCTACTCCTCCTTTTTCTCCTTCTGCTTCTCTGTCTGTTCCCTCTTCCCTCCTCCTCCTTCAGAGTCACTGAGCCGAAGGGTGGGGTTTAATGTATTTGCAAGGGACTCTAAATGATGGCATTCAGAAGAGTGAGGAGTGAGCACTTCCCCAATTGGGTTTTCTATCACATTTGTCTGTCGTTGTGGATTCTGATTGCTTTGATAATTCTGTTTAAACAGCAGAGTAGCAGGTTTCATACTTAGGATTTGTTACTTTATTTCTAATTAATATTTAATTGCCAAACACAACCTCTGTTATTAAATGGTAAGCCCAAGAAATCAAATGGAAAAGAAATGATTGAGAAACTATTGTTCCCTGGGAGATCTGAGGACTGTGGACTGAGTCTTCCATCATGTACCAGGGATAAGGCTGTCTACTTATTTCCTCTGTCATCACAGATGTGTGTAGGAGGGAATGAATGGGAGACAAGAAAACAGTTTAAAATCCTGTAAGAAGACATGGCAGGAAGAAATGAGTCTGTAGAAGAACGAGGTTAAATACAGACTCTGACTCTAAGCAGTTATGTGGCCAATCCTATGCTAAGGTTCAAAGCATTCATCACGAATATGGAGAAGGCTAGTGGACCCTTAACTTGTGCAGCTCTAAAACAGGGAGATTAAAGAGAGAGCCACACAGCCCAGCAGAGATGTCACTTATAAGGTACAAGTCCCCACAAGGCTGCAAGGCCATAGCCTCAGTGAAGCTGTGGAGTAACTGCAACCCAGGGAAGACAGGATGAAAGTCTTCTTTGAAAGTCTCAGAATCTCAGAGTCCCTGTGAGGTCTCCAGTACTGAAGCTGTCCAGGGCAAACTAGAGTTCATGGAGAAACAAAAAGAAAAGACAAAACTGACCAGAGCTTTATAATGTGCTGCAGACAGCTCTCAGGTGCCCATGAGGAGCAGCTGTAGCCTGATGGAGGCAGACATCTGAGGGCTGAGGCTGGGGGATGCTGACCCTGCAGACAGAGGCCACCTGGGCAGAACAGCCAGGAGCTTTCTTCTCAGGCTGGAAGGCTTCTCACCCTAGCCTTGGCCTAAACTGGCTGAGGGAATGATGGTGCTTGGGTTGAATTCTCAGGAGCAGTAGTATGCAGAGCCTACTGTTCTGTTAGGGCTGGCTCCCTAAGTCTGGGGTCCAGACACGATTTCAGCCCATGTAGACCAAAGCCCAAATGAGTACCTTCCAACCATATTGTCCTTTGGTCTTGGGAACTGCTCACTGCAGGTGATCATGAAGCTTCCATCACACTCCTTAAAAATAGAAATACACTTGTATATAAACCAGGAAGAAGGCATTGGAGAAAGGAAAAGGACATGGGTTATTGTGCACATGTGAACTGTTTTCTGTCTGAAGATTCCAGTCACACAGCTTTCACACAGGAATACAGTGAGAGGGGAGAGCACTGGGGCTGAGACCACCACAAGCCGCAGCCCACACAGAGAACATTAGTTATTTCCTACCTAGAGGTCGGGAGCTGAAGGGGACTCACACATGGCACTTGGAGGTTCCAGAGGACTTTTCCTCCTGCCCCCTTCTTGTCTGTGCATCTTGAACAGTTTAGATTCTCTTTGCCTACAAATGCTAAATGTTGTGACCAAGAGATATTGTATGTTACAACTCTTGAAACCAAGTGATAATAAAGGCCAGAGAGAGAGCTCAAGGCAAGGTGCTGCCACCAAGGCTGATGGACTGAGGCAAACCTGGAACGTGGTGACAAGAGAGAACTGCCTCCAGGTTGCTCTCTGACCTCTCTGTGTACTCAGAGGGCCGCATGTGCACACATACAAACACAGACACACCAACCAACAAGTAAAGGATAAAAAACAACCCTCTGTTAACAGAACTGAAACTGTCCCCCTCTACGTCTGAGTGACTGAACTCCTCCTGGCTGTTTAGTGAATCCTGTAAGTTTTACACCCACACCCCTGATATGTCCTCCCCGACTCCGCTGCTGAACTTGCCTGGTGATTGTGTGAGGTTACTGTTTTCTATGCTATTGTCCCCAGGAGTAAGAACTAGAACAGTTGTTCACATCAGAGCGGAATGTGCCCCCTAAAGGACATTCAGCAAGCTTTAGAGGTGTTTTGAGTTGTGTTGACTGGGGTAGAAGAGACATAAAGTCTCTTGGAGGTTACTTAGTTAGTAAACTACATTGCCTGGGATAGTTTCACAGAACCAAAGAATCACTGGTCCAAATCGACAGTATAGAAGAGCCTTGAAGCAGCAACTGAGAACTGCCAGGCTTCTGCAGCTAGTCCCAGGAACACCCAATTCTTACATTTTATGTCAGTCCAGAGTGCACAGTCATGTGCAGATGCACATAATGTAACTAACTTTAAAGTCTTCCTCCCAAGTACTTACATTTCCACACAAGAAACACCATAGGGAGCTGGAGCAATGGTTCAGTGGTTAAGAGCACACATTGCTCTTCCAAAGGACAAGAGTTCAATTCCCAGCACCCACACTGGGCTGCTCAGAGCAGGGCTAGTCCAGCTCTAGAGAATTTGAGGACCTCTCTGGCCTTTGTAGGCACTGCACTCATGTGCACTTACACACACACACACACACACACACACACACACACCTGCTCACTGTGCAGGAACTGAGCTGCACTCTCCAGGGTCTCCTCATCATGGAACTGTATGGACATCCTCTCTCCTGCAAACATGTGACAGGGACAGCTCCTCACCAATAACTTTGTGGAGATGAAGTAAAGTTCCAACGACCAACTGCCCATTACATGGTGTTAATGCATGAACATAGAACAGGATCCAATGTTCAGTGGAAACAGAACTGTAACCCAGAGACAAGCCCTTCTCCTGGGGGAAATAGGGTTTGGAACAGCCAGCATGACACAAAGCCATCCACATCTTCTGAACTGAGCAGCCCAGGAGCCAAAGGACTGGGGAGGGATTTTGTCTCATCTCCTCTGTGATGGCTCTGCTGTTCAAGGTCAACAGGCTTCCAGTCCTTCATCACTCTAGGATCTGGGCTACTCCGTTTATGTCCTCAAAGAGAAGGCACATGGCCAGCTGTGACTGGTTTGGTGCATTTGCTCATTCATGGTCACCAATGGGTGAGAAATTAAGACAAGAAGACCTTCCTGGGGCTCATGCCTTGAATCCCAGCACATGAGAGGCAAAGGAAGGTGGAAATTTGTGGAGTCAAGGCCAGTCTGGTCTACAAAGTGAATTCCAGGGCAGCTATGGTTGTTACACACAGAAACTCTGTCTCAAAAAAACAAGAGAGAGAGAGAGAGAGAGAGAGAGAGAGAGAGAGAGAGAGAGAGAGAGAGAGAGCGAGCTAGCTTCCTGGGCCCCCTGGAAGCTGCGCATGAAGAAGGCACACTTCCCTCCTCTCGTGTTGTGTTATTAAACACATCCCAAAGCACAGTCTCCCTAGGATTGACCTTTTTGCTTTTCCTTCACAGTTAGTGAAACCACAGTTGCTGCCATGGCCGGGAAGCCCGTGCTTCATTACTTCAATGCCCGGGGCCGAATGGAATGCATCAGGTGGCTGCTGGCTGCAGCAGGGGTGGAGGTAGGTTGTGCATTGTGCTTCTGGAACCGGACCTAAGATAAGTTTAAAATACTTCCGTAAGCTGAGAGGCTTCACACCAGGAACATGGCACACAGTTTCGAGTTAAATGGTAATCTTTATGTGTTAAGGATTCGAACAAATGAAAATTTTACTATACTCTATCAAAAACCACATTCACATTAAAGGATGCTTTCAGAAGAAAAAAATTCAAATACTTATTTGGTTAATTAGCTATTAGAGTTGAATCAAGTTACATAATGAGACATACAGAAATAGAAACTCAAATGTTGATTATTAAATGTACCATGAATCTTAAAAGGTCTTGTCATTAAAAACAAACCCAGAGCCAGGTATTGGGGTGAACGCTGAAAGATCAAATAAACAGAACCACCCAGAGATAACCTCACCTCGCCAATTCCTCAGCTGATCTCATTTTCTCAAACTGGAAGCCTCAGAGTCCTCATCCAAAGGGATCTCAGCTGAACTGCTGCTCAAAAGTCTAAAAGCTTAACCAGGCTCTAGTTCCTGGTCCTCACACCTTATATACCTTTCTGCTTCCTGCCATCACTTTCTGGGATTAAAGGCTTGTGTCGCCATGCCTGGCTGTTTCCAGTGTGGCTTTGAACTCTCAGAGAATCAGACAGATCTCTGCCTCTGGAATGCTAGGATTAAAGGTGTGTGCAACCATTTTCTGGCCTCTATATCTAGTGGCTGTTCTGTTCTCTGACCCCAGATAAGTTTATTAGGGTGCACAATATATTGGGGAACACAATATCACCACAATTAAATAATTATAATTGATTATTGTAGATTATGGTATGATGCTGTGATTTTAGGTGTGGCGCTGTTCTTTTAAAGAGAGTACTTATATTTGGAGATTCACGGTGAAGTGTTTGTGATAGGGACGTGTGACACCTCAGCGCTGACATTAAGGTCAGAGTCGCAGAGAAGATGGGCACAGAGGGGAACAGGGTGGACTTTAGCTGGTGGTTGTTGGAGCTGGCGATTGATGGATGGAGGCTCTTTGCAACTTGTGTGCAGTTTTACAGCACAGACCCAGGAATTTCCATGATAAAAATGGTTTAGAGGGGACAGGAGACTGAAGTGACAGCTCAGTGGTCAAAATCCAATACTGTTCTTGCAGAGGACCCACACGGGCTGCTCACAATCACCTGTTACCCTGGCCTCAGAGGGTTCCTGGGCCTCTGGTCTCCATGGGCACTTGCACACACATATAGGCACACACACACACATACACATACACGCACACACACACACACACACACACACACACACACACACACACACCTTCTGAATATAATATTAAAAAACATTAAAAGAGTAAATCATACTAAATAGTTAGTAGAGTTAACTTTAAATTATTCACCACAAATGGAAGGCCTGACACATGGGTTGTGCAAAGCAGTACTCAGTAATCAGTTTGCAGGGACTCTTATCAAATGCCAGGCACAGGGCTGGTCGGGAGTACATACACGGGGAGTAAGATGGAGGTCCCACCCTCAGGTGGCCCCAGGTCTGTGAGCTTTCAAGTAAGTGGTGAGTGGCCCACATGAGGTGTGGAAGCAACATTCTGCATTTCTGCAACTTTTTTTTTTTTTTTCCAATTTTTTGAACAGAAAATCCTGGAGGCTTTTATGCTGCCCTCTAGAGGTGTCGCTGGGAAAAATACTTCTAGTTCACACCAGGCTGTCTACCTGTCCCTCACTAAAGCCTTTTAAGGCCCTGAACCTGCAGGTCTATTTTGAAAGTGGACATCAAAGGGGATGGACTCATCGAACGATTTTAGAATTTGTTGTAGATATCGTTCCCCACACTGCAGAGAATGTTCCTGCTTTGCATATGGGATGAAAAGTCACCTGATCCACAATGGGGAAATCTCTCAATTTTAAAGGGTGTCCTTTCAATTGCATTATTAAGAAATTTATGCTGGGTAGTGGTAGTGCAAGCCTTTAATCCAAGGCCTCGGGAGGCAGAGGCAGACAGATCTCTGTGAGTTCGAGGCCAGCCTGGTCTATAGAGTGAGTTTCAGGACAGGCTCCAGAGCTACACAGAGAAACCCTGTCTTAGAAAAAGAAAGAAAAAAAGAAGGGAGGGAGGGAGGGGGAGGGAGGGAGAGAGGGAGAGAGAGAATTCAGGACCGAGACTTCTCAGATCAGAATGGGAAAGGTTTAGCAAGTATTTATATTAAAATTTTAAAGACGAAAATTTTCATTATTAGCATGATCGAGTGGGATTTTCAAGCACGGCAAATTCAAGTGTCAATACAACCAAGTTTTCAGTTCTTGATCACAACAGTGTTTAACCTTCCTTTGGGTGGGAAACATGGTATTTGATCAGACAATTAAAGGACTGTGTATGGCAAGGATGCGTGGAAATGTGGAAGTGGAAGGTATAAGACGTGCCGATTGCGTGTTTTTGCAGGACATGGAGAACTGAATGAAGGGTGACTGACAGGTTGTTCCCCAGAGATGGTGACATCATTCAGATGTGACTAACAATGTATATATGAATTGAATTTAAATTTTTGTATTTTCTGTGTATGTGACTTTTTTCTGAATGGATGTGTCGGGCCCCATGTGTGCAGAGCCCAAGGAGGACAAAAGAGAGCACTGGATCTCCTGGACCTGGAGTTTCAGGCAGTTGCAACGCACCAAATGTGGGTGCTGGAATCGAACACAGGTCATCTGGAAGAGCAGTCAGTACTCTTAGTCCTTGAACCATTTTCTCCAGCCCCAGACAGGAAATTGAAAGATATAGATTAATAGGAGGAAGAATGGCCTAAGAGGTTTGGAGCACTGGCTGATCTTCCAGAGGATCCAAGTTCAATTCCCAGCATATACATAGTGTCTAACAACTATCTATAACTCTAGGTCCAGAGGATCCACTATCTTCTGGCATCTGAGGGCATGAGGCATGTGTGTGATGTACAGACACACATGTAGGCAAACACTCATGCACATAATATAAATAAAAAAATTTAAAATATCTAGATAAAATTTTTGTAATAACTGAAGACTTAACATTGGAAATATAGTTTTCAAGTCTCAGAACAGAAAGAAGACTATTAAAATATGCAAAGATTTTTAAGCTATGTGAACACTTCAGAGGCTGTTATTGAGAAAGGAGATATATTCAGAACACAAACTATAACCTTAAGCTGTACTCAGTACTGGTGCTTATAAATAGAAGATGCCAAATTGGCAGAGAACAATGGACAGCTGTTTGGAGGATCTTGAAATGGAGCCAGCAAATGCAGAAGCACAATATACAGAGATCAAAAGATGGCAAAGATGAAAAGAATGTGATGGAACACTGGCTGCTGTGGCCATCCAGGCAGAACTGCTTAAAGAGAATCCAAAGACAAAGGCACAGACAAATAAAGAGAAGGGGGGAATATAAAAATCGTTCTTTAGTAAGGATTATATTTTGCTTAATTAATAATCACCAATTATATAAAGGACAATGTAAGAAATAGTCTACTATGATCCCTGACATGTTTCCATAATGAGTTACATCCTCATTGTTTACAGTTGAGAAGTGCCGAAATAGGCCTCTTCTTAATAAAGTATCATGAAATAATAAAATAAATCTTGAAAATCAGAAATGTAGATGATGACAGGCCCACACCATGTGCCATGATGGAGACACAGAAAGTTCTGTTCTGTTCTTGCTGAAGTTAACAGGCTTTGCTGAGAGTTCAAAACCTCAACAGTCCATTTCCCAGTGCTGGTCTTCCCATGAGATCACTCTCTTCTTAGGACTTAAGCATGGACATAGTGGGGTCAGGGAGGAGGAACACTACAAGAATGAGCAGCTTTGTTATGGTCAACACCCTTTTGTTGATGGATCTAATCTGAATTATCAAGTGGCCATGATCAGACCCCTTCAGGTCTATTGCAGATATACTACTAGACACAGACCACTCAAGTTCAAAAGTCTACAACAATACAGAATGAGCTAATGAAAATTATTTACTTTTTCTGTCTTCAGTTTGAAGAGAAGTTTATAGAACGTCCAGAAGACTTGGAAAAGTTAAGAAAAGGTAACACCAAGTATTCATATGTCCTCAATGAGGTGCCTAGTAGAAGGTTTACCAGAAGGTGATGCTGGTGGGTGGTGGGTGGGAATAGTCAAGAATGGCAGAGTGATATGATGTAGGTGGTGGGTTTCCTTGAGTGCTCTGAAAATGGAAACAATGATAAGAGCGGAGAAGTTGGTTTCTCCAAAAATTTGTCAAGTGGCTTGTTATTGTTCTCTATTATTTCTATACCAGAGTGAACAATCTCAGGCTTGACTCACTTTTTCAGTCAATGTTTCACATACACTGCCCTACAACCACACAAACACATGACTGTAGTAGAATATTATTTTGACGTTTGTTACTTTTGTTTATGTTGCATTTGTTTAACTCTGTGAAGCTGTGTTCCTGCACCTGTCTAAAACACCTGATGGTCTAATAAAGAGCTGAACAGCCAATAGTGAGGCCGGAGAGAGAAGTAAGGCAGTGCTGGCAGGTAGAGAGAATATATAGGAGAAATCTGGGAGGAAGAAGGAGGAGCCAGGGAGGTAGGAGGACTCCAGTCACCCAACTACACAGCCAGCCGTGGACTAAGAGTAAGATTTACAGAAGTAAAAGAACGGGAAAAACTCAGAGGCAAAGGTAGATGGAATAATATAAGTTAAGGAAAGCTGGCAAGAAACAAGCCAAGCTAAGGCTGGTATTTATGATTAAGAATAAGCCTCCATGTTTGATTTATTTGGGAGCTAGGTGGTGGGCCCCCAAAACAGCAAAAAATAACCAACAACACATGATCGTTAATTAAAGCATGGATGGAGAACAGATGGGTTGATTTTTCTTGAGAATTTTTATTATAACTAGTAATGAGTTACTATCACCTCACAAATAAAGACTGGAAAGCTCATGGTGACTCACTACATAGGAAGCTGTCACACAACACCATAATGTCATGAACATGATTAGATTTTAAACTCCTGCTAGGCAAAGGACTTATTTCTGTTTGCATGGTGGCTGCTCTGCTGTCCATTTTCGCCTTCCAAATGTATCCAGGGACAAGAATTGAACATAAAAACATGCATGAGAGATATGATATGTATCTGGATAGGAAATAACAGTGAATGAGAGAAGCTCAAAAGCCAACAGAAGATCATGAGACAAAGAGGAAGCAGGAGCTAAAAGTACATGGGGATCCACTTGAAAGATTGGCTGCCATTCTGCTATCTTTCCTTTGCATGATCAGACATTTCAATACAACTTTTCTGTTCCTGAGGGTGAGACTTGCACACTTCACAGACCTTTTTCCTTTCTTCTTTCAAAGATGGGAAACTGATGTTTGAGCAAGTGCCCCTGGTGGAGATTGACGGGATGATGCTGGTGCAGACCAGAGCCATTCTCAATTACATCGCCACCAAATACGACCTCTACGGCAAGGACGCAAAGGAGAGAGCCCTGTACGGTACATTTCCTGTTATCACTCCAAGGAAAACGAAGGAAGGAATTGGTGTCTCCATCAGAGAGCAAGAGAGTGGCAGGCTTTGAGTCTAGGAGCAGGCTGGTGATGGATATGAACACTTAGACTAAGTAGGAAGAGTCCATGGAGGAGAGGGAGGAGCTGCTGGGATGGGTTCAGCTGAGTGTGACTGCAGCAGAGGATGATGTTGCCAGCACAGCATGGGGACAGAGTTACAAACATGATGTTCCAAGGGCCCTGAGCATGGTGGAATCAGGACTCCAGGTGCTCAAGGCTTCAGTGACTGGACCTCAGCCAACAGCTTAGGACAAAGGACACAGGGCTTGAGGCTAGAGGTGGAGTCCTAGGGAGGGAAGGGGGAAGGAGCTGCTTCCCACATCCCAGGAGTAGGAATAGTGCAGAGCAAGACCTGAATTGTCAGCAAGTTCTATGGCCTGGTCAACTCAATGAGGCTAGATAGACCGGTTCCCAAGGACCAAGATTACCTAGAGCATTTAATTCAGAACTAAAGCAGCCAGGCTGACTGTACCACCCATGCTGGAACCCATTCTGCTTGACAAAATCCTTCATTCATAAACCACTGTGCATGAGTATTGTAGCTGCTCAAAAGCTAAATTTGGTGCTAGCCAGCAACACTAGTGTGGGAAACATATGTCCTTGGAAAGAGAGACTCGGCTTTAATAGTGCTTGTATAGAAATACTCCTAGCAGCATTGTTCATAATTTTCTCATGGTGGAACTACCAGAGATATTCAGTAATAGAGGAAAGAGGAGCACAACTTATAATTTTAGCCATGAAAATATCTGAAGTGCTGAGGGGAGCAGACAAAGGTCAAGTGGGGACACTGCATTATGTGAAGTAAGCAGACAACAGGGCACATGCTCCACAGTTCATTCTAAAGGAAACGTTCCTGTCCTCCCCGTGGATAAGAAAGGAAATGGGTCAGCTGCCACAGGGGCGGGATTCGGAATGAGGGGTGACCAAAATCTTCTAAATTTGGAGAATGTTGTTTTCAGAATTCTACAAAAGTACTTAAACAGAATGCTACATTTTAAGTGTATGGTAATGACGGTGTGTGACAATGTGACAATGAAGCTCTGTTCCAAAAAGAGTCATACAAAGTACAGTTTGAAATAAGGGAACACATGTGTCCTGTACTGTGCTGTGGGTTAAATGAACAAAGAAATGACGAGTCTTGATGAATAATAACAAGGCCAGAATCCAGCAGCAGTGTGTGGAAGGCATACAGATGTGCTTCATGAGAAATAAGTGGAGAACTTCTAACACTGACCAAGAATGACTCTGGACCATGCAGCAGAATGACAGATGTGCAGAGACACATCTGGCAGCTCAACCAGGGCTCTATGTTCGGATTACATGGGAGGCAGCTTGTTAGCTCTAAGAATCTCAGCATGGTTGTTAAGAAAAATGTATGTCAGAGAGAGGGACAGAAAGAGACAGAGAGAGAAAGAGGGAGAGAGAGGAAGAGTGACAGAGAGAGACAGAGAGAGAGACAGAGAGAGAGACAGAGAGAGAGAGAGAGAGAGAGAGAGAGAGAGAGAGAGAGAGAGAGAGAGAGAGAGAGAGAGAGAGACTGCTGTAGAGTTGATGGTTATCTTCCGGAATGCTAGCAACTTATAACAACTGAATCTCTAGATGGGCCAGTGATGCACTTTGAGATTGGGATAAGTTATGAGTGGGTAACAAAATTTCTAAAATACTGGGAGGAGCGGAGGGAAGGGAAACTGTGATAGCAATGTAACGTGTTAGAGCATAAATAAAAACATTTCAGCCCTTTAGTGGTTGCACACACCTTTAATCCCAGAATTTGGGAGACAGAGACAGGCAGATCTCTGTGAGTTCAAGGCCAGCCTGATCTACAGAGTGAGTTCCAGATCGTCCAGAGATACACAGAAAAGCCTTGTCTCAAAAAAAAAAATCTGTAAGTGTATCTGGACTGACAGAATGTTCTAGGGAGAAAGTTCTTTGCAATCACCTGTCAGTATAAATTTCTCAGATTTTTAGATTAAAATGTAAAATAGGGAACCTTTGAGAACCCTGACCATTTGGATAATTTTGTCTTTCAGGATTGACATGTATACAGAGGGTATTGTAGATCTGACTGAAATGATCAGGCAACTGGTTATATGTCCTCCAGATCAAAAAGAAGCCAAGATTTCTTTGATAAAAGACAGGACCAAAAACCGGTACTTGCCTGCCTTTGAAAAAGTAAGTAGGCTCTTTGAAGTCAGGGGACACTGAATTCCAAGGACAAGAGAAAGGTGGAGTCTGGGAGAGAAAGGTTGCTGCAGTACTGACCTTCCATGAGCCTCTCTGTGCAGCCCCCTGCCCCACAGGGCACTGTGGAAAATGGCTGTGAAGGAGCCCTGCATGGTCATCCCAATCTAGGGGTCAGTATGCAACAGGGTTCATGGCCACAACCAGAACTTGATCTGTGGAAGGCTGAGCCACACCAGAGATGGACCCAGATCCTGCAGAACACAATGGGCTTCAATGCCAGAGGAAACTAAGAAAAACACAGATGGGGAAATATTCACACACGGAGGCCAGAGAGTGACTGGCTGTCGGGAGAATATGATAGTGCTTTAAAGACAGAGGAGAAGTACCTGAACAAGGACAGGGATGGAGGGTGGAGAGGAGGAAGATGATGAAGAGATGTTAAGGAGAACTGACCTGCCGTAATTGGGGTCACAGATGCAGGGCTTGGGAGGAGAGCCATGCACACTCAGCAAATGAAGGCGTGTCAGTGACATGGAGTGCCTCTTAGTCAGGGCTTCTCTTTGGAGGAAGATCAAGAACACTTTGATCTTCTGTCAAGTAAAAGATAAGAACAGAGCTATGATCCTAGAGGATAAGGGCATCCTACACATTCCTGAAAGAACTTGTTTACTATTTAGAGGCTGTGGAGCTCCAGGAGATTGGGGGCAAACTAAAGTCTCATGCAATAGCCAACTTTATTCACACATCAGACCATTTTTGCTCAAAGAGTTAGGAGAAGTCACATGAATAAATAGTATACAGGCACAAGAGCAAGTTACATGTGGTGGTCAAGCCAAAAGTGTCAAAAAACATGTTTTTCCATAGAGATATATAAACAATTAACAATATCCTGTTGTAATGAATAATCTGAAGTAATCTGACCCCTATGCACTATACCTGGAAGGGACATGAAAGAACAATCCAAAACAATCCTGGATTATCTTCCAACATCACCTGACTGTAAAACCTATGTTATAAAGCATAACTTTATTTCTCATTCATCCACTGAAAGTTCACTCACTGCTGTCTCTGCTCTATGGAAGCCTAGGGTTTTAGGAGTCATCATGTCCTCACACAGTCCCCTGTAGCCTGTGGTGCTGGCAGTTAAGAGCCTGTCTCATAGGACATATATCTAGCCATTGCAGCCTAAATTTTGTCTGCTTGAGAACCTTGAGCTCCTTATATACAATGAGGTATGTACTGGAGAACACTTGAGGTTTATTTTTGGTTTGAATGTGTGTCTTAGTGTTTTCATTGCCATGAGGAGACGCCTTGACCACGGCAACTCTTATAAAGAAAACATTTAATAATGGTGGCTCACTACAGTTTCAGAGGTTCAGTCCGTTATCATTACGGTCGGGAGCATGGCAGTGTGCAGGCAGATGTAGTACTGGCTACATCTTGGCTGGTAGGCAACACGAAGTCAACTGACTCACTGAGTGGTGTCCTGAGCATAGGAAACCTCAAAGTCCACCCCCACAGTAACACACTTCCTCCAAAAAGGCCATACCCACTCCAACAAAGCCATAACTCCTAATAGTGTCACTCCCTATTAGATTATGGAGGCCAAGTACATTCAAACTACCACATTCCACTCCCTGGCCCCCATTAGCTTGTAACAATATCATAATGCAAAATACATTTAGGCCAACTTCAAAAGTCCCCATAGTCTATCACAGTCTCAACAATGTTTAAAATTCAAAAGTTCAAACTCTCTTCTGAGATTCATTCAATCCTTTAATTGTAATCCCTTATAAAATAAAAAAAAAAACAGATCACATACTTCCAACATATAATGGCACAGGATATACATTGCCATTCCAAAATGTAAAGAAGGGAACATAGTGAGGAAATACTGGACCAAAGCAAGACAGAAAGCCAGCTGGTCAAACACCGAATTCTGCATCTTCATGTCTGATGTTGAAACACTCCAGTTTTGTTCAGCTTTGTTCACTGCAGCACATTCTTTCTCTTGGGCTGGTTCCACTCCCTATTAGCAGCTCTCCTTGGCAGGTGTCTCATGACTCTGGCATTTCCAACATCTTGGGTTCCCAAAGCATTCCAGGCTTCAACTTCACAGCTTCACATAATGGTCTCTCTGCTAGTCCTCCATTCAGGGACACCCTTGACACATGCCTGGCCTCAGTGTCTTTCTTTCGGTGTGCAGGAAAATTCCACAACTTGTTTCTTCTATCCTTAACTCTAAAGCCAGAATCAAGTGGCTGAAGCTGCCAAGTTCTGCTGCTTGCTGGGCCTGGAACATGGCCCCCTCATTCAATTATATCTTTACCAGTTTTCTCTCCTTGGCTATCCTGAAACTTGCTCTGTAGACCAGGTTGGCCTCAAACTCAGAGATCCACCAGCCTCTACCTCCCAGTGCTGGGATTAAAGTCAGGCACCACTACACCCAGCTCTAAGCTTTTCTTTACTTTCTTGTCTCAAATTGGAAACTTAGCTGGGTGGGATCTTGCCCTGAGGTCACCAGTCCCTTATTCCATTTCTTAATCTGTTCATCTCCTTGAACACAGGACTCAGCTCCATTCCACTTCCTGGTGCTCTTTATCTTCTCAAATTTACATTTTGTAATTTACCCTTCTCAGCTTGCTCCTTTTCATTATAAATCTACATTAGAGTTAGCACCAATATCCACACAACAAAGTATAGACTAGGCTGTTTTGAGATTTCTTCTGCCAACAGAATTAATCCAAAACTTCACTTTAGCCTCAGGCAGGCTCTTCAGACCTGGGCAAAAGGCAGCCACTTTCTTTACCAAACTGTCACAAGAACGATCTCTAGGTGACATACTAAAATTCTTGTCCTCTGAAACCTCTTGAGCAAGCCCCCAACAGTTCAAATAACTGTCAGCACCTCTGTCTTCCAGGCTCCTACTAGTATGGCCCGTTAAGCAGTGCTTAAAGCATCCCACTGCTTTTCTAACCCAAAGTACCAAAGTCCAAATTCCTCCAAGCAAACACATGGTCAGGCCTATCACAGCAATTCCCAACTCCTGGTAACAATTCAGTCTTAGTCTGGGTTTCTAATGTTGTGAAGAGACACCATGACCATGGCAACTCTTATAAAGAAAACATTCAATTGGGATTGGCTCACTTACAGTTTCAGAGATTCAGAATATCATCATCATGGTGGGGAGCATGGAGGCATGCAGACAGATGTGGTGCTGGCTACATCTTGGCTTGCTGGCAACAGGAAGTCAACAGACTCACTGAATGGTATCCTAAGCATAGGAAACTGTGGGGATCCTTGGATCTAAGTTCCTGTTCAGGGCACCATCTGTGGGAGGCCAGCTCTCACCTTTTAAAGGGTTCCTATGAGGAGGAGAGAAGAATAAGAAACTTTTAGATAGAAAGATAGTGGAGAAGAGACAGACAGAAACACAGGATAGCTTCAAGAGGACCTGGATCAAAATCTACTGGACACTTCTGTGTCTTCAAAAGGGCTTTTTTTTTTGGTTTTTCGAGACAGGGTTTCTCTGTGTAGCTTTGCGCCTTTCCTGGAACTCGCTTTGGAGACCAGGCTGGCCTCGAACTCACAGAGATCCGCCTGGCTCTGCCTCCCGAGTGCTGGGATTAAAGGCGTGCGCCACCACCGCCCGGCTTCAAAAGGGCTTTTTAAGCCGGGCGGTGGTGGCGCACGCCTTTAATCCCAGCACTCGGGAGGAGGAGGCCGGCGGATCTCTGTGAGTTCGAGGCCAGCCTGGGCTACCAAGTGAGTTCCAGGAAAGGCGCAAAGCTACACTGAGAAACTCTGTCTCGAAAAACCAAAAAAAAAAAAAAAGGGGGGGGGGCTTTTTATAACAATGCCAAGGGGAAGGGCAAAAGATCTACCCTTCACTACTGTGATACAGCACAGTCAAGTGCAGACTCCTCAAAACACCTGGTAGCCACAGCTGTGGTCAAATCATCCCCTTATGCAGCCCTTCTGGGTAAAGCAAGCTAAGATTAATGGACCCTGAGTAAGTTCTCACTAGGAAAACTCTGTGAGTCTCTACAGGAAACCTCAAAGCCCACCCCTACAGTGGCACACTTACTCCAACAAGGCCATACCCACTCCAACAAAGTCATACCTCCTAATAGTGTCACTTCCTATAAGATTATGGGGGGCCAATAACATTCAAACTACCACAAAGTGGTATTTATAATTCTTTTCTCAGAATACGTGGACAATGTGCAAGCCTTTTAATCGTTCTTTACTTGAAGCTGAGTAGAGGCAGAGTGTCTCCTTGGGAGACTTGGGAAAAGTTAGTGGTCCCAGTCCAACTCTATGTTCATAATCTGTCTCCTTTAATTCTTCAGGTGTTGAAGAGCCATGGACAAGACTACCTTGTTGGCAACAGGCTGACCAGGGTGGACATTCACCTGCTGGAACTTCTCCTCTATATTGAAGAGCTTGACTCCAGCCTTCTGGCCCCTTTCCCCCTGCTGAAGGTGAGATCACCTCAGAGAGGCAGCCGCACACACATGCCTCTGAGAATGGTGGCCTGGGGGCTGCTGAGGGCCCATCCTCGGGCCTCCAAACTGAGCTACTAGAACCTGGTTTCAGGCAGGAAAATTATCTTTTGTGTATGGAGATTGGAGGCTGGTACCTCAAGAAGAATATTTTGCCTTTTGTAATCAGAAAGATGCAGGACCCCTGTTTTTTGCAGGATGCTTCTGGCCTTCTTCCATCTCATGTGTCCTGTCTTTGCACACTCAGTGTCTGAGCAGGTCTCTGTCATGCTAATCCCCTTCCTCAGCTCTGACTTCTCAACACTGTGCTTCCCTCTCCACAGCCCCCACCATGCTGTCCTCCACCCCCAGGGACCCCATCCTTATCTCTAGGTGTGAAAACTGGCTGTGAGCTGCTCCTGGTTAGACTTTGAGCTTTTCTGGCTCCATTTCCAACTCAGTTTTTCATGTCTTCAGTTTTCTTTGGTAGTCTCTGCTTTCACACCTGAGAGACACAGTGCTCTGTGCTCTGCACCACAAAACCAGATCTATAGTGTGTGTCAGGGACCTGAGGAGAAGGTAATTGGATGTCAAAGGAGATATTAAGGAACATTATTCTGAACTATGGTTTCTAGCTCATGAATTAGTCATTCTTCTCATGTCTACACTGGAGCTGTTGTAAGGATGCAGTTGGTCATGTTCTGGGATGGGCACAGAGTTTTTTGACTGTCCACATAAGCCGTTCTGACTCTCAGGCTGTGTTTTCTGGATTACAGGCCCTGAAGAGCAGACTCAGCAACCTGCCCAATGTGAAGAAGTTCCTGCAGCCTGGCAGCCAGAGAAAGCCTCCCCTTGATGCCAAACAAATCGAAGAGGCGAGGAAGATTTTCAAGTTCTAGGAAAGCTGCATTGACCAAGTTCTTGTACACCAGTCTCCGGTGTTTTGCTAAAATAGTAGCAACTATGGATTTTGGCTATACTGAAATAATAAACATGAAAGAACACTGTATGTAGCTAGTGTGTTTGAAGTATGAGCTGGAATTCCTGGAGTTGCACATAAAGAGGAAGGCAAACTAAAAATGCTTCATTTAAAAGCAAACCAGGCCAGGTGGTGGAGGCACAAGCCTTTGATCCCAGCACTCATGATACAGAGGCAGGCAAATCTCTGTGAGTTCGAGGCCAGCCTGGTCTACAGAGCGAGTTCCAGGATAGGCCCTAAAACTACACAGAGAAACCCTGTCTTGAAAAAAAAAAAAAAAAAAAAAAAAACAACAGCAACAAAACAAACAATATTTTTTTTTAAAAAAGAAAGGGAAACTAATCTCACTAGGAACCCCTCCCCACATCCTTAACCTTCGCCCTACTCCCCACCCTCACACCCTCCTCCCCCCACCATCCAGTGACCTACCCCCCCCATCCCCACACTGGCTCTTCCAGCCATCCAGTGAGGCTGCCCCTCTATGCTCAGACTCAGGAGCAAGCTTCAGTCTTGTATTTTCCTGATAATCCAACTCTGGATCCTAAGCAGCACTGCCTGCCCATGCTGCCCCTCAAGGTCCTGTAGAAGTACCTACCACCAGGTACTTCACACTGGTACCACAGAAGGTGCTGCATCTGTGAGCTGTTCGGTAACTCACTGTAGGTTCCCTCCTCCTCATGTCCTTCCAGGAGGCCCAGGCTCAAGCGAGAGAGAATTCTTCACACTCCCCAGCTGATTCTGACCCAGAAGCTCACACTTCTCCACCCAGCCAGGCTACCCCTCTAGGCCCAGGCCCCGGTGGGAGCCACGTTCTCGAACTGTCTTGCCTGATCTAACCCAAGACCCTGAGCTGCCTCTCCAGCCCAGGCTGAGCCATATCCATGAGCTCTCTTGGTGTGTTTGCTTCAGTTCCTTTATCCCACAATGCCCCTGTGGCCCAGGCTCAGTCAGGAGTGGCATTAGCTTACTCTCCTGCTGAGTCTGACCTGGAACCCTCCCCTGAGTCTGCCCCTTCAGGCCCAGGCCAGAGCAGCAGCATCGTGATATCTTGGCCAGTGTCAAGGACCCTAAGCTGCTACCTCTAGAATTGTCTCCTCCATCCTGATACAAAGTAGATCCTGAGCTCTCTTGGTGAGTCTGACTCAGGTCTTCAACCCGTGGTGCTTTGCCACCCAAGCCCGGGCCTGGCTGGGAGCCCAGTTTGTTGCTTTTCAATGAGTATGCTTAGCCCCTTTGGTGGCACAGCCACATCCATTCCCAGCTGGGAGCCAAACTAGAAGACTTTCTTGGACTTCACCCAAGCAATGCACATTACCCCTAAGATTCCCATGCCCGGGGTTGGGGATTTAGTTCAGTGGTAGAGCCCTTGCCTAGCAAGCACAAGGCCCTGGGTTCGGTCCTCAGCTCAGCAAAGAAAAAAAAAAGAAAAAGAAAAAAGATTCCCATGCTGCATTAGTTACCACTGAATTGAAATTAGCCCATCTCTACACTCAATAACCCATACTAACAACCTAAAGAAGTGACTTGCTTACTCCTCCTACCTCACCTGAAATTAAGCAAGTTTGGGGAACAACAAAACCATGACCATACTCCTCTCTATATACCCTCAAGACAGGGTTTCTTGTGTAGTTTTGGTGCCTGTCCTGGATCTCTCTCTATAGACCAGGCTGGCCTTGAATTCACAGAGATCTGCCTAGCTCTGCCTCCTGAGTGCGGGGATTAAAGGCGTGCGCCACTGCCACCCTGCCCAGAACCATACTTCTAATCAATATAGTCAGGCAAGAATCTCTATACAAAACACAACCAACAAAGGAAATCCACATGCCCAGGTCACATCACAAAATTACAAAAATTATGCAACACTAAGACAGTATACCTCCCATCTAGAGTCCGCCAGTCCTGTGAAAACGTTCTCCAATGGGAATCATGTAGATGAACATCAGGATACAGAATTTCAAAGAGGAATTAGAATCATGATCAAAGAATTTAAGAAGTTCAGAGAGGACATGGGTAAATACCCAAATGAACTTAAAGAGATAGAAATAAACTCCTAAATAGAGTTCAAGAAAACTCAAATGGCTGAGTGAAAATTTGAAGATGGTTCAGGACTTGAAAACAAATCAATAAAAAGATAGAAATACTGAAGATAACTAAACTGAAATAAAGATGGAATTGAAAAATCCAAAGACCTACTTAAAAAAAAAAAAAAACACCTCAGAAGAAATTCTTATCAGTAGAACTGACCAAGGAGGAGATAGAAGATAAAGTACAGAAATTTAACCATTCAGTGAAAGAAATAGATAAACACACCCACACAAACACACACATGTGGAATGCCCAGGAACTCTGCCATACTATGAGAAGACCAAACCTGTGAATTATAGGCATACAAAAAGGAGAAGCATCCAAGGCCAATGGCATAGACCAGATCTTCAATGGGATCGTAGAAGAAAATTTCTCCAAATGAAGGAAAAACGTGCCCGATGTGGATATAGGAGGCACACAGAACACCAAGGAAAGAGGGACAGAAAAGAAACTCCCTGTGTCATATTAAAGACTGAACATATAAGAACAAAGTGTACAGAAAGCTGCAAGAGGAAATCACATGTAAGGGCAAATCTGTCAGAATAACAGCAGACTTCTCAGTGGAAACCTTGAAAACCAGAGGAGCTTGAAATAAGGCACTCCAAATCCTAGAAGATCGCAGATGCCAACCCAGACTACTACTTTACCCAGCAAAACTACCTGCCCTAGTTTAAGGAGAAAGAAAAACTCTCCATAGTATAAACAAAGTAAAGGAATTCATGTCCAGTTAAATAAGAAGGGGTCACGAATTTGAGAGAGAGTTGGGGGACAGAAGAGAAGTTGGAGGAGGGAAAGAGTGGGTGTAAATAATATAAATACAGAACTTATGTATGAAACTCTCAAAGTAATAAGATAAATGTTTTTAAAAAATACAGCCGGGCCGTGGTGGCCCAAGCCTTTTATCCCAGCACTTGGGAGGCAGAGCCAGGCGGATCTCTGTGAGTTCGAGGCTAGCCTGGTCTCCAAAGCGAGTTCCAGGAAAGGCGCAAAGCTACACAGAGAAACCCTGTCTTGAAAAACCAAAATAATAATAATAATAATAATAATAAAATAATTTATGTCCATCAAACCAGGCTTCCAGAGAATACTGGAACAATACTTCAGATCAATGAGAGGAATAAGCACAGCAAGAGAAGACTACAGGGGAAAAAAAACAAATGAAGTTAAAATAATTGAAATTTAAAAATAGGACAAAGACACAAACAGGGAAAAAAAATGACAGCAATCCGCACACACCTTTCAATAACAACTTTAGGTCAGGTGGTGGCAGTGCACGCCTTTGATCCCAGCACTTGGGAGACAGTGGCAGATGGATCTCTGTTGTGGGATATTTTGATTGCACTGAGACACTCCAAGAATGTTATATAAATAACAGTTAAGTAAAGTTTACCTTGAATCAGGGGAGCAGAGCCAGTGACTAGCTGACTGGAATTAGCCATAGAGAAGACAGCATTTTGGATAGAGAAGATGCACAGGAAGGAAAGGGCGGGGACTAGAGTTTGAGTTTCCTTTTGGGTCTGGGATGATGGGAGAGATGTGTCTCTTGCAGTGTCTCCAGCCAAAAAGCAAGGTCAGGGAGTTGTTACTCAGCCTCTCTGAGCGAGCAGGTCTTCACCCCAGCCTTTGACTCCTGAGTCTTATTGATAAATAGAATGATAGAGACTTAAATTAAACCTATATATCACAGCTGTGGCAGAGCAGGGACCACAGGACCAGAATCTCCTCCCCACTCCCACCCCCCACCCCACCCCCACCCCACCCCTGCGCGCACCAGGCTGCAGCCTGAGTGGCCAATGGAGTGCTGACTACAGGGCTGTGGGGCCAAAAACAATAATTAAAATATCAGTAGATTCATGTGCAGCCACTTAGCCAATAGAAAAACATCAGATCTCTGTGAGTTGAAGGTCAACCTGGTCTACTAAGCAAGTTCTAGGAAACCAAAGTTATACAAAAAAAACCTATCTTGAAAAAACAATAATAATAATAATAATAACAACTTTAAATATGAATGGCCCCAAGCCCCCAATCAAAAGACACAGGTTAGTTGACTTGATTAGAAAACAAAACCCATCTTTCTGCTATCTCACTTTTAAGAACAGGCACCAACTTTGAGTGAGAGGATGGATAAAGGTACAAGCAGACAGGACCAGGAGACAAAGTGTTGCTATCCTAGTATCTGACAAACAGGCTTCAAACACTAATCACAAGAGATACAGAACAACCCTTCATTCTGATCGAGGGACCAATGGACCAAGAAGACACTACAATCCTGAACATACATGCACCAAACTTTGACAAATGCAATCTCATAAAGAGTGTATTCTGGACTTAAAGATACGTATTAGCCCAAACTCAGTAATAGTAGGTCTTTAAGACCCCATTTTCTACAATAGATGGGTCATCTGGATGTAATTAAACAGTGAAACATCAGAATGAAATGATAATGTATATCAAATGGACCTAACAGAGATCTACAGAACATTCCACTCAAACACCAAAGAATACACATTTTATTCAGTAGCTCATGAAAGTTTCTCTAAAATAGACCACATACTGAGACACACAGTAAATCTCACAAATACAGAAAAATTGGAAGAATTCTATGTATCCTATCTGACCATAATGCAATAAACTTACAATTCACAGCAAACAAATCTCTAGTAAGTACACAAACTCGTGAAGATTAAACAACTCATTACTGAATGGTGAATGGATCAAAGGAGAAATTAGAAAAGAAAAAAAAAATAACTTTCTGTAACTAAATGAAAACAAAAAGACAGCACAGTCTCTGGGTCACAATAAAAGCAGCCCTAAGCTGGGCAGTGGTGTCGCACGCTTTTAATTCCAGCACTCCTGAGGCAGAGCCAGGTGGCTCTCTGTGAGTTCGAGGCCAGCCTGGTCTACAGAGTAAGATCCAAGACAGGCACCAAAACTACACAGAGAAA